CGCAATATTTCCTCTATGATCTTCTTCTGAACTTAAACATCTGATTGGTTGAAATATAGTTTTTCCGATTTACAATAATAACGCAAAAACTTTGCTTTCAGAATTGAGTGATCACATTTTTAAAGAAAAGTGTTCCATATTTAATCATAAAGATACTTGTTCAATTTTTTGAAGAAACTACTGATTTATCCAACGGTGGAAAGTTTCATTCGGAATTTCACATTTTCATGAATTTGAAATGCTATCTAGATACATTTTTTTTATCAAAGAAAAACCTTTACATATATACATATCAAATACATAGAAAAATGTGTTGTCTATTATTTTACTATCTGAAGAAATGGTTTATTATTCACCATAGCGTTAAAGGTGAAAGATACTAATTATTGAGTGTTTCGGTACGTTTATTTGAAAAAAAACTATTTATGATAAAAAAAAAGATCTAACACACAAAGTCATACACATTTGCTTGATTAACTTACCCTGGCAGCCATTATCAAAATGAAAGATTTTCTGTTTGAGTAGAAAAACCTGTGATTATATTAGTGACTTTAACCTATTCAATTTTTAATGATGATATGAATTTTTAAATACATATTCTTCTTCAAGGTTTTTTCTTGCTTATCGTGATCATATGAACAAATTGAGTAATTTATAGTAGCATTCGTTCGAATCCAAACGATAATTCCTTTGGCAGTATCTTAATCATTGTCCCGCAAAACAATAGGTTAGTTTTTGTGAAAAATACCTGTATAATGATATGTCAAATGTTGCACTACGTCAAAAATAAAATGATTTCCTAAAGGTAAACGAAAAATTCGTACGGCAAATTCTATTTTTGCCGAAGAACATAACCGGATCGCTGTCAAATCAAATTAGATTATTTTCAATCCCAAATAAAGAATCTATAGTGCATGTTTTTATCAGAAGCGAAATGAATTTTCATTTTAAATAAAATATAGTGGCACATTCAACAAGATTTTATGAAATGAATTACCTATAACTAATGAGATACAAACCCACAAAATATGGAATTAATTTAAGGCGTATTTAATTGACATGGCAGTCATTCTTTAAGAAAAAAATGAACTCGCTTATTTTGAGTGTAGAAATAAATAAATAAGGAATCAATTTAAAAAATCTTTCCTCAAATCAAGTTGTATATTTTCATAGTACACATCAAAAACTTGTTATTTCTTTTACTACTTCCATGAAAGATTCAATCATATTGTCTTAGATAATTGCTTAATAAAGCAATTAAATAGCATGATATATATATAGTACTTATTGATTGACAAGACTTTCGAATCCCATACCAGAAGTTACCAATACCCAAAAGACAAAAAATATCTAATGAAAAGTCAGAAAAAAAAGAACGACTTTGGGTGCGTATGTATGCACAAATGTAATGGTATATAAGTGATATAAGAAAAACAAATACTCTACTTTACAATCCGAGGGGAAGAAAAAAACTAGGTAAGAAACTGATGTTCACATCATTGGTGGATCTGGAATACCATATCGTTTAAGATACCATTCCATGTAGGCTTTCTTTCGTTTCTCACGTGTTGCGAAGTATGTTGGATATTGAGCTTTTTCTAGTGGATGCCAACCATCGAGTGCCTTAAATTAAAAACACAAATATATAATAAAGGTCAAAGAAAGAAGACATATTTCGTATCAGCTTACAGAATCATCAGGTGTTGGATATCGATTTTCAGCAATACCATTAGGTGATTCGGGAACTTAAAATAAAAGATTATCTCTTTTTAAAAGATGATTCTTTTCGAAATTCTAAATATTTACAATTAAAGTTTTCTGTGTGCACATGCATAGATTTTTTAAGTTCATCTTCGCCTGCAATTAGTAATCGTTTTGCTTTCATTAAATCTTGTACATTTTTGTTGGCATCGAAACGTGCTCGATATTCTACCATACATTGACGATATGCAAGTCTATAGGAAAACAATTTCGAAAAAATAAAAAAAAGTTAGAAACAGAAACAAGTATGCTTAGTATAAACCTGTCAGGCCAATGAGCACGACGAGCATACACGAATAAAGATTTATATAATCGACAGACACGTTGTGAATGTGTCAAAAATGTTGTCGGTAAATTCGACATGTTCTTGATTCGGTTAAAAACCCAAACTCAAGTAAATATAGATTAGTTGTTTACTATTGTTTGTTTCTTTTTTTATCCACCCATATTCGGCCAATCAAATATACCCTATCAATACAGATTACTATTGGTTGAAAGTCAAACCATTGAGAAGTATTGATCGCCTTTTCTAGTTCTGACGCTATTTACGACGACTATTTATTTACATGTTCTCTTTTTTTCCGAAGATTTGACATTCTCTGTCCCTTCTATTTTTTCTTCTTCTTTTCATGGATTAGTAACTAACTGTCCAATTGAGCATTATGTTCTTTTTGATAACATGAAAAACCACGAAATCGATTGAGCATAGTTCTAGTTTTATTTTTGTTTATGATTACGAATATTTATTTGGTAAGAATAAAATGATTTTTTTTTCTTCTTCTTCTTCTTAGATTTTAGCATTAGAAAATAACAAAAAGAAATCTCTCATAGCTTAATTTTTTATTAAATAAAAAAAGAGTGAAACAATGCAATGAGTGTAGGAAACAAGCAGCAATATTGAGTGAAAACATATTTGGAATGAATAATTAATCGAATTAGAGCAACACATCTACCATGCTGAGTGAATATATTGACGCGTCGTCGGCTGTCGAGCATAAGGACGACGTATTGCATTTGCTCCAATGTTCTCGTACTTTTGTTTGCGAATAGTTAACAACAGGCAACATCAATCAGTAGAATCGAATGGAACATGAACATAAATGCATGCGAGAAATGCAAAGAAAAGGAAATGAACATGTTTTAAAAGACGAGATAAGCTAGTTTTGATCAAACGTCGAGAATCTTATAAAATATTGGCATTTAATTGAGCTGTATTCTTTAAAAATATTAGCAAAGCAAAAGAAAAAGGAAATCAACTAGATAAAAGTGTTGCGCTTTATGTGCATGATTTTTTTCCTTTTTTTTCTCTCTTTTTTTCTTCTTCTCATAACAGAACGGAACGAGCTGTATCTATCGTGGGAATAAAACAAGGAAAATAAAGATAGCAAGATGCCCTATGTAATTTTCTATTCAAATACTCGATCAGTCGGCATCAAAAACCATAATTCTATTTTTTTTTCAATCATCATTGTGCACATCGTATTTGCATGCGTCCTACAGGCATACATCCTTATTCATGCTCATGAGAAAATATAACATGATAAGTTAGAAAACTGAAGAGGTGTATATAAATCTATATCTGAGCGGGTCAAATAGACATCCGCTTCATTTATGTGTTGCGTTTCCTGTTTCCATCGCCTTTTTTGATAAAAATGAATAGCTGCATGATTTATTTTTAATGAAATGTTGAACATAAAAAGAAATGTGCCAACAAACGAGTAAGTTCTAGTTGCTTGCTCAATCTCCTACAATCTAAGAATTGTGAAGCAAACGCAGAATGACATATAACCTATTCTGTTGCTTTGTGTATATGTCTTTTTCATGTGAGAAATAGATGAGATGCATTATAAACAGCATCATCAACATCCTATTTCAAGTGTTTCTGTGCGTGTTTATAGTAGCCTGACCAGAATATATAAGCGAAAGAATGAAAAGAAACCGATTAGAAGGACATGGGCATATCTTCGTCTTCGTCTCTATTATTACTATCGCTACCCGCTGAGTGTGTTTCCATAACAGAAAGAAAAAAGTTGCTTGATGATGAGAAAGCGCATACACATCCAGCATAAATACACACAAAGAGATCATCATCAACGTCGGAGCTAAAAAAAAGAAGAAGCAGGAAAAAGAAGAGAAAAAAGAAATCGGCGAAGACCTAAAAGGAAAAGAAGAGCTGGTATGTTGAGCAATTGTCTCTCTATGGCATGCATTACGACGGCTGACTTTGCTATTACTATTCCACTACTTGAGTAATAGAAGCTAAGGAAGAAAGAGAGTGAGAGAACGGCAAGGAACAAGAGAACAAGAAGAGACGATAGCCGAGCAGCATCACCGCCAGAAAGACGATGGATTGTCAGTCGTCATTATTGTTGTAATGCGAAAAAAAAAGATCTAGACAATTTAATGGAAAATGGCAGAGACGATAGTGAGTGACAAAAAAAAATCTCGGTCAGTATCAAAAGAGAAATCAGAATGAGAAAGGGAGTGTACGAGAGAGAAAAAAAAGATCTACGTCCGATGTTACTATTGCAGTATTAATCGTTTATTTAATCGATCAATTGTTTTGCTTTCAAGCTGCTCTTTTTTTTAGTCAATCAGTTTGTTCACATCTTCATTTTCTTGTATACAGTTTTTTCGAGTATAAAATACGTAAATGAACATCTATTTATGTGGTTCATATTCATAGATTCTTTACTTTCACCCTCATTATCAACAATAATCAATTTTCGATGACGACGATAGGCACATAAGAGAGTATAGACGTTATTAAGACACGAGAGACAAATATACACAGAGAGCGACAGGAGTATTCCTTGTTATTAAAACAAACGATAGGACCACATGTATGCATGCCGATCGTGACTTCTCATATGAATTATGAACATTGAAGACATAGAGCTAGATAGTTTTAGTTATATATGTGTGCATTTGGCATATTTCTTTTAGATAAGATGATGATAATGATGATGTATCAACAACAACAACAACTACTACTACTACTACTACTACTACTACTACTACCATTACACGACTAGACTCAGTAATATTTTATTTTGAACGATGACAACTATTGAATTCAGCTGTTGTCTGTTTTTTTGTCCATCTGTTATCCGTCCACGATAAATACGGATTTTAACATTATTATCAACTGAAAAATAAACAAAAGGAAAAAGTCAACTAAACCTTCATTAATTACAAAGATAACAAACACAGCCAGAACAAAAAAACAGACATTTTCAATGAGTTCAACAATGACAAAAGGCAAAACTAGCAAACAAATATCATGTAAAGTTCGCATGTTAGACGATCAAGAATTACCATTTCATATTGATGTAAGTATAAGATCAATATCATCTGTTCTTATATGTCGCTTAATATATATTTGACTTAACGTCGAGTGCTATCAATCATAACAAATGACTATATGATATGCATTTGTAATAACAAATAAAACGAGCCCATGTAGAACTCTTTTATCTTCGTTCCGAATACTTTTTTTTGTCAGACTGTCAAGTTTAATAACTTGCTCGCTGCATACAACACACATACGTCTATCATTATCTTTATTACGATGATGACATTCGGGCTATTAACATACGAATTAAGTTGCATCTGTGTTTATTGTATACATATGTTCGCTTGAATGACTCTAGAGCATCATTATAAACAATCTTTGTTCTTTCTAGCCGAAAGCAACTGGGCAAGATTTATTTACTACAGTTTGTAACTACATTGATTTACTTGAAACTGATTATTTTGCACTTGAATTTCTTGATAGTCATCGAAATACAGTATGTATTCAATAAGATGATGTTTTTATTTTATATTATATTTGTCTTTTATTCAGTGCTGGCTTGAAATGGATAAACCTGTACTTAAACAAGTTGCTGAAACAAAATTTTCCTTCTGTGTTAAATTTTATACACCCGATCCAGGACAGTTGGAAGAAGAATTTACTAGGTAAAATTCTTTGAATAAATGGCTTATCTCTATTAATTTGCAACTCTATCTTCATCTTGCCTTGGGCTCGTATGCAACCTTTCAGTATTTTCGAGGGAAAGCTTGAATTAGAATAATTAGAAATATATCCTCAATTTTGATAGATAATAAATTTTTGAAGATTACAAATACGATGCGACAAAAATAACCTTTTAATACTAATATTTTATATTTAGGTATCTTTTTGCAATGCAAATAAAACGCGATCTTCATATTGGTACACTACTATGTAGTGATAATACTGCTGCGTTGCTTGCGTCTTATATTGTACAAGGTAGATTAAAGAAAACAAAAGGAGATTTTTTTCTTATTGCAATTTTCACTATTAATTATTCTAGCGGAAATCGGTGATTATCTTGAATCGTATAATAATAATCCAAGTTATTTAGGTGGCAAAAAACTTTTCCCACACCAAACAGCTGAACATGAAATTCGTATAATGAATTTTCATAAAAATCATGTGTAAGTGTATTTATTTATTGATGTAACAATAGACATATTCTTGTGTTATTACTTTTTTTTTTCCTTTAAAGTGGTCAACTTCCGGCTGATGCCGACCTTAATCTCCTTGATATTGCACGTAAAGTTGAATTATATGGTATAAAAATGCATCCGGCTAAAGATCATGAACAAGTCAATCTTAATCTATCTGTTGCACATATGGGAATACTTGTCTTTCAAAATATAACAAAAATTAATACATTTTCATGGGCAAAAATTCGTAAATTAAGTTTTAAGCGTAAAAAATTTCTAATTAAATTGCAACCAGAAGGCTATGTAAGATTTATTTATTAATTGAATAAGTTTCTGAAAATACAACAAACTTGCATTTTTTTTGTTTTGTTTCTTAAGGGTTATTATAAAGACACAGTTGAATTTTACTTTGATACACGAGATGAATGTAAAAATTTTTGGAAAAAATGTATTGAATATCATGCATTTTTTCGTTGTGTTACAATAAAGCGAACACAACGTTCAAGAAGTAAATTATTAACGCGTGGTTCATCATTTCGATATAATGGTCGAACACAAAAAGAAGTTGTTGAATATGCACGTGAACATTATGTTAAAAATCGAACCTTTTCTAGGTAAAAAAATTAGAAAGCAAAGCAAAATGTTTTTTATTTTTACAATAGCAAATTTTCTTTTGTTCTTCTTTAGATCCTATTCGAATACTCGAGCAGTTGCACCAGCAGCCAATCGTGCGTCTCGTTCGCCTGGTACTGCACTTAAAACATCAGATACGATGCGCAGTCATGATACAAATCTATCATCAGCAGATTCAACTCGTCATCAAACACGTCCCATAGGAATTCCAGTAACATCAACAACTATAACTATCACAAAAAATCAACCAACAACAACGAATACAACAACAACAACAGCAACAACTATAGATGCAACAGTTTCAACAACACCGAATGATATTTATCAACATGTCTATCATGATGATTCATCAACGCACGGTAGTCGAACTTTAGACTCAAGATTTAGTCGTGATAAATATGATCTGTCTGGTGCAAGTACAGATGAAGATGAAGATCATGATGAAGAACAACAAAATATTCAAAATCAATCGAATGAACAAACACAACAACCAATGAATGGTTCAGGATCATCATCGCCTCCACGTCCGCCGCCGCCGCCATCACTACCCATACCACAGTCAACATCTCCAACAAAAGCTATTCCTATTCTTGATAAACCAATAACTGACATTGAACAATCCATAAATTCCAAACGTGAAAATGAACTTCATGAATTAGATAAAAGTAAGTCGCCGGGTATAGAAAATATTTTGTGTACACACATTCATGATGATGAAGAGGAAGAAGAAGAAGAAGAAGAAGAAGAAAAAAATGAAGCAGATAATAGTGAATCGAATCATAAAACAGAAAATCGAGTATGCGTAGAAATTGATCATAACGATAATAATAATAATAGTAAGAATGAAGAAAATAAAGATGAGAATGAACCTGTAAAACGTTATTCGACATCTTTAAAAATGTATTTAAATACGCGAAATTCAGCTGGTGGTTCTCATTCAATATGTGTTACACCAAATGTAACCGATCTAATGAATAAAAAACAAGAAGAAGAGGAGCAACAAAAACTATTGAGTAAACGTGCTCAACAACAACAACGTTCACATTCACTACAAATGGAACGTACATTATCAATAGACTTAACGCACTCACCATCGAGTTCATCATCATCATCATTATTAGAACCACCGAATATCGAAAGTCTGATAGGTTCGAATATATATGACGATAATAATGGAGAATATTTAAGAAAAACTACTACACCTCCAATAGTTATTGAAATACGTTCCAAACCGCATTCATTACCACGTATGACAAATTATATTGAATATGTTGATAGACGTACATTACCACCAATAAACAGTCTATCATGGCAAGATGATACAATCACAAATGATCAAATTATTCCATTGTATGAAAAAGAATCTCCCGAAGATCCAATGGAATTAGTTCGACAAGTAATCGAATCTATTCTTACACAAATTGTTGAAGAAGAAAGACAACTAATCGCTACTGTCGGTCGTCTTGTCGAACAAGCATGTTCACGCGCGATAAGTCTATATATTATGGAATGTCGTGCACAACTATTTGCTGGATCTTCTCATATACCTCATCATAAATCATGCATATTGAGAATAGTGAAAACTGATAAAAATCATGATAGTGATAACAATACTAATAATCTAGCGTCTCGTTTGCGCACAAAATCCAGTCCAGTTATTACAACAACAACCGATTGGACTGATGTAAGTCGCAAATTGGCTGCTCAAACATGTTTCGCTGCTTTTCCAAGTGGAAATAATATACACGAATTAAATCGATCAGATTTTTCAACATTTTCAGACGCTAAACTAAAATTTTTCAATATTATTTCTAATGATGTAGCTCCTTCGCAATCTTCTATTTCTCTTCCTCCTCTTCTACTTCCTCTTCTTTCTGCATCGTCTGCTCCTAATGTTGTGTCATCTTCATCATCAACACGATCATCTCGTGCTTCATCTGTTTCATCATATGCATCATCAATGCATGTGCCATGTCCACCTCTAATTGACAGCCATTTAAAACGTTATCAACGTCCATTATCAGCACGTCTGCTTGATTTAAGCGATGATTCAGATTCGAATCCAACAGCATCTATAAGCACTAGTTTAAAAACTTGTATTATTCCGACAACAGTATCTAATCCTCATCCTTCCCTTCCACCACCTGTACGTGCTCAACGTCGTCTTCAGCAACAACAAAAACGACGTTCAACTGAAGATCTTAATTCATCAAGTGATGATTCACTTTCAAATCATTTAAATAAAGCAGCCGGTTTTCGTTCTGTATTTGTTCAACGGAATCATCATAATAAGTGAAAAGGAATTTCTTGTTTTTTTTACGTATCTGTTAAGATCTCTTTTTATTTATTTTTTCTTCTTTTTCTTTCCCTTCTATCTAGTCATTATATTGTTATACTTATATGTATATCTGTCTAATTGAATTTGTACAAATCTTCGCTCTGACTTCTATTCTAATAGTGGATAAGAAAACGAATTATTTTCTTCTTTTCTTTCTCTCTCTTCTCTATTTTGAGTAATTGAGAGTGAGTGTTTTTCTTTTTTTTTCTTGCTCATGGAATTTCAGCTTTTATTTTACACAATCAGGGATATATATTTATATATCTATATATTTTTCCTTTATTTAGTTGAGAGGAATAAGTGAGAGTAATAGCATTAGATAGTAGAAATAGATTTTCTTGTATTATGATTCGGTTCACTCTTTCTTTCTTTTTCTTCTGAAAACAATATCATCAACCCGGCGACTTATTATTATCTTTGTAGACAGTATGCGCTTTCTGTTTGTTTATCCACACACGCACACACTATATATATATATATATATATATATATATCCGTATGTGTAGATGATTTCCCCCTAAATTGTATTTGTACGCTAAATAATAATGATTTTTTTAGTTTTGTTTGTTGTTTCGCTTAGACTAACATTTGTATGCGTATGTGAGAAGTTTTGTATCGTAGTAAATCTCGTTCTTGAATAATATGACAAAAAAAAACCATAATAAACAACCAAAGATGAAATAAATGCGATTCGGAAGACAACTATAGAAAATTTTCATAGACAATTAATAAGATCAGAATTGATGATGATCGAAAACAAAAATAAAGACGATATCGATGTTAAAACAAAAGTAAAATTTTATTCTTAATTACAGGAGATTCAATAACAACAGGCCAACAACAATATCGCCGTGAAATAAGTGGATTTGTTAATAATCATCGACCTGTACCACCAATAACAAGTAGTACACCACCCAGACGATCATCAACTACTACTGAGCAACAACTAATTTCAGTAGCACAAAGACCGAGTCTTAGTAAACAGGCTCCAATCATAAATAATGATAATGGTGAAATTAGTAGTTCAAACCAAAGGTAATTAATAATGAAAATAAAATAGTTAGCAGTTCATAAATTTTTCATAACAAATATATATCTCTAATACATATATAAATACTAATCAACTTTTTCAAGATCTTCTATTGGTGAAAGTATTTTACCATTTTCGCCTGCATTGAAACCATTTATTAATAAGACCACCGATGAAACAAACATTGATGATAATAAGGTAGAATGTTAATAAAGTTCAAGGATAACATATAATTTCATAAGGTACTTACTTTTAATCTGTCTTAGACTCGAACAATACCAATTATTCATGAATATCGTTCACCGACGACAACATTAAGTACGATTGAGTATAGAACTACAACTACAAACCAACAATCACGTACGTATAATAAAAAAAGATTGAAAAACGTCTTTTCATTCTTAAGAGGCATTGCACATCAGCCACGACCAGCTGCAGGAAAAAGGTTGCTCAATCGATCTCATCGATTTTACTCATATTTTCATAGTAGGTAGCCCTGACTAAGTTAGAAAGAAACTGAAAAATTTCAGTTCGAACGGATAATCCCTTCTGGAGATATATGCACTCAAAGTAAGACGGGATCGGAATTTTTGTGCATCGACAATTTCCAGTAAATCTGCATTTTCTCAAGAACGATAAGAGCTGTAATAAAACTTTTCCCATCATTAATAGTATAGTCAGTGGCCTATCATTTCATGGTATTGAAAGTATCTTATGTTGGAAAAAATTTCTCCACGCGATTGATCTGGCTCAGAAAATAGGACCCCAGTGTATATGGCCGATTGGTCAGATCAGTGAGGTGGGTGAATGGCAATATAGTCTAATATGAAAGAGCACATCAAACTGCATCGAATGATGTGTTCAAAGCTTTGTTATTTTGAATTTCAGTAGCGAAAATGTTTTCAACAAGATCATGATATTTTCACGAAAAATTCACTTGAAAAAACACTTGTGCTCGTTTTATTTTTCATATATTGTTTTTATATATTCAAATATTCGTACATATTCTGATAGAGCGTGAAACTTTCTACAATTCTATTCAAAAACATCTTGAATAACACATATCGGATAAGGAAAACATCATGCACAATAAAGACATCCTCAACCTACGTTTTTTCCAAACCCACTTTTATTTTATTTTTCTTTGCTTTCTGCAAATGATTTGAACTAAATTAGTACGGAAATAGGAAAGCAACTATGCATTCTCGTAGAGCTTGAAATTCCGCATCTTTTGATGTGCCACTCAAAAATCATCAAGATGCAAAATAATATTCAGTACGCGGCATTATAATCATACTCAATGAAAGTCAAAGTAAGTCTTTGTATCTAGGCGTTTTTATTGTAATAGCTTCCTTTGGTAGAAAAACTAATAGCACATTCAGAATCAGCATGAAAAACTGTATCTAACTTGATGCTTTTTGGAGAAAAATATTTTTTACCGAAAATTCACCTGAAGGGGACCCCAGGGTCAATCTACAAAAACAAACTGCTGAGGGGTACTACGGGTGAATTTTTGGTAAAAATATTTTTCTACAAAAAGTATCAAGTTAGATGTAGTTTTTTAGGCTGAATCTGAATGCGCTATTTGTTTCTCTACCAAAGTAAACTATAATGATATACTCGCCTCGATACCAAGACTTACGTAGATGATTTTCACAGAGTGCGCCTATTATGCTGCATAGTAAACACTCGTCTGCATCTTGGTGGCTTTTTAGTGACTCATCAAAAGATGCGGAATTTCAAGTTCTACCAGAATGCATAGTTTCTTTTGTATTTGCCTAACTAGAAAATTATAAAAAAGAGAACAAAAGTTGGCTTTGGAGAAATCTGAGGAGTATGGTGCCTTTATTGTGCTTTATCTTTTTTCATTCAATGCGTGCTATTCAAGATGTTTTTGAATAGAATTGTAGAAAGTTTCACGCTCTATCAGAATATGTACGAATATTTGAATATATAAAAACAATATATGAAAAATAAAACGAGCACAAGTGTTTTTTTCAAGTGATTTTTTCGTGAAAATATCATGATCTTGTTGAAAACATTTTCGCTACTGAAATTCAAAATNTTCAGGAAATTAAAATAAAATGACTATGTGACAAAAACGGATGAACATTTTGTTCAATATTTTGAGACATCAATGCAATCCAATCATTTTAATATAGAAATGATATGTTTTCATTTGGATTGAATTGAATAGAAAAGAAACTCATTTCCATCAGATACGCCTCTCTAACAAAATATAGATAATATTTAAGTTTTTTTCCTTCTAATAATAAAATAAATCTTGCTATTCAATCTGATACTAAACCAGAGCTTGCATTCGTTTGATTCAATGTGTAACTAAAAGTAGATACTAGCTATACATCATCGATATTGAATTTAGATAATTGTCACCGTTTTGCTTCACTTGTATAATTCGTCATATAGTTACATAAAGAAATTTGAATATCTTGTAAATAGATTACGTATTAGGTCGGCGATGCTTTTGAAAGGCCTAGTTAACTCACACCTAATCATTTTCTATGAAAACATTTTTTTGCCGATCACAAGATACATAAAATTCTCAATCACTATAGCTATTAATCAATTAATAGACTTCTCAATATTAGAAAATAGCATATAATCTAATTATTCTTGATATAAATTATAGCGTCCAGAGCAAATCCGTCAACATTCTATTCAATGAATCAACAAATAGCGGGCATTCCGGTATGATTGTTATGATCAAAAATTTATTTTCTTGATTTTTATTAAAAAATAAAATAATTTAGCGCTTAATTGGCTCGGTACCACTACCACCAACATCGTTGTCAACACATTTTCCTACATCAGTTTCATCAACAATGATTATATCACCGTTACACGATCGAGCTTTTTTTATCTGTAAAGAATTATTAATGACTGAACGAACATATAAAAAAGATATAGAAGTGGTCGCTGATAATTTTCGTTGTGAACTAATGCTTATTATTAATGAACAAAATGATACTTATCTTGACCAAGACGAACAACAACAACAACAACAACAACAAAAGAATTTAGAAAAAGATTCATTAATAAACTTATCAGATTTATTATTCACATGTTTAGTACCTATTTATAATTTTCATGTTCATTTTCTTCGACAACTTGAACAAAGAATATCCATATGGTATAGAAACAATATTTAATCAAATAAAAAAAAAATTTATTTTTTTATTTTTCTTCAGGGAAAATCGTTCTATTCCAGGTAATGAATACGGAAATGGAGAAACAACGCATCAGCATATCGGTGATATTATTGCAAATTTAGTTGAAATTTTACCAGTAAGAATTATTTAATATTATGAAACAAATTTTTGACATTATTTTCTATTCGATAGACATATGAAAGTTACATTGAAAGTTATGATCGTTTATTAAGTGAACTTGAATATGTACTTAAATATAATCGACGTTTTGATTTGGTTTATAAAGAATTTGAATCACAAAAATTTTGCTATCTATCATTTATATCATTTTTACTTAAACCATTACAACGACTTTTACATTATGAATACTTATTAGAGAGTATGTTCGATTTACCTTATTTTTGTATTCTATTTCATAGTATTCTTTTTTTTCTATATTTAGAACTACTCAAATACTATCGACAAAATAATAATGATATGGATTATCAAGATTGCTATGGCATATATATTAAAATTCAAGATCACATTGAAAACTTCACAGAATCATTAACATCATTGGTATGATAATTGTATTTATTTGTTGAAATACTATGTTTTTTATGAATGATTTTCTCTTAGCTAAATCGACAAAAATTGATTGAACTTCAACGTGATTTAATTGGTGTCGATAATCTATCTATTCTACACGATCGAGTAAGCTATGAAAATTTAGATAATTGAATTTAATTAAGTTTTCTTTTTTTTTATGATATTTTTAGCAATTTATACGTGAAGGTTGTTTACAGAAATTGTCACGAAAGGGTTATCAACAACGAATGTTTTTTCTAGTAGGAGAACAAGCCTTTGATTGAAAACTTTTCAATATGACTATTTTTGTTTTAGTTTTCTGATGTTCTACTTTATTGTGCTCGCAGTTCGAGTCCAATACTTCAATTTAAATTACACGGTGAACTTCCATTAAAATTAATGACAGTTAGTATCAACAATTTGACTTTTTCATTGTATTATTTCGCCGTTGATTTTCTAGGTTGAAGATAGTGATGAACGTGTTAAAATTCCGAATTCTATCTCAATATATACGGGTACTCGGTCGTTACTTGTAGCAGCAAAGTATGTGCAATAATATTTCTTAAACAAGCTAGTTCTAAGAGCAATTCATATTCAGAATATTAAATCGATAAATTGAATAGAAATTATCCTTGGCACAAAAACTTTCTATTGGCTTCTTGACCGAGCTAATGAAATTAACATAGTTTATCTCACTTGAATTAAAGCTATTTTTCTTTAAATGAAAAAAAAAACTGAATAATATTGATTGTATTCAGCACGACAGCTTTTCGAAATAATTACCTCTCGTGCATATTGAAATTTGACATAGCCCTTTTCGAATGACAATATAATGACCCTCAATATCCATAGGGAAATTCTACATAGAATTCCCTAACTATTAATATTCTTTCTTTACACAGATTGATGCTTCTATAATTGAGCTGAGGCCTTATACATTCATAAGGTCTTGTCAATGCTGTTAGCGATAGATTGATCTTGAACATGTCACTAGCCGCTATGGTTTCTGAGCCAGCTGTCTGATTGCATGTTGATGACCTTGTTGATATAGATCTGCTCATGTGGTTAATTATTCTTAAAGAGAAACGTCAGAACTCGACATCAGGTCGGCCTTCTTTAATGTGGATCTACAGCTGGTCGTGATTCTAGAAAAGATGAAGGACTGTTTATGTTTGCTAAGCTTTTAATTGCTGTAAACAAAACAGAATTAATTCTCCTTTATTAATCTAAATGATTGACTGTTTTAATTATTCATCATGAACGTATATTTTACTAAATCAAATTTTGAATTATTTATATTAGTTCTGAAACTGAAAAGAATAAATGGTTGAATGACTTAATATCAGGTATTGAAAATATAAACAGCACAAGTGACGAACAACATAAAAATCAATATACATCTACATTAAAATCGAATGGTATGTTGTCGTATGACAAAATAAAACTGCTCCTTTAATTCATCATTGTTTTGTTTTTTAAGCATCATCTGAAAATCTTGATTATTCAGTAGTTGGAACGGTTGAAGAAGAAAAGATACATCAAATCGAACCTTCATGCATTCAACATCGTGCTAATACAACAATGCATGTTTGTTGGCATAGAAATTTATCTGTATCAATGAATGATCATCGGCAATCAATAAAAAATCAATTAAGTGGCTATTTATTGCGTAAATTTAAAAATTCAAATGGTTGGCAAAAATTATGGGTTGTTTTTACAAATTTTTGTTTATTCTTCTATAAAACTTACCAGGTAAAACTAAATCATTGAGAGAATGTGTGTTCTAACGATTTGTTTCTATTTATTTTAAGGATGATTTCCCATTAGCATCTCTACCATTGCTTGGCTATCGTAGCTCATTACCATCGGAAACCGATGGAGTGAATAAAGATTTTGTATTTAAACTTCAATTTAAAAATCATGTGTACTTTTTCCGTGCAGAAAGTCAATATGCTTTTGATCGGTAAATATAATTCTATTTTGTTGGTTTTATCATTACTCTCTTTTTTCAATGTCTTACAATTAGATGGATGGAAGTCGTTTCAAGTACAACAATATCATCGACAAATCCTACAAGCGACTAGTCATGATAATCTTTTTTCTGTTTCTAGTCGATGGGATCTATTTCTTTTTATATTTGATCAAAAAAACTGGGCAAAATTCTATTGTAGTATACTGTAGAAGGACTCATAATTCTGGTGATTGATCGAATACTATTAACTACTGTATTCTTCTCTCATTTTTTTTTTCTTCTTTTATATAAATATCGTTGTTGTATTGTTTGAATGCTATTAGACAAATTTAACTCCTTTTCTTCTTGTCCGACTTTTTTGTGCAATGATGCTCGATAGAAGGAACATAATTCTTTTTAAAAAGGTAAAATTGAATGAAAATGTCTATGAATAACCGACGATTGACTTATTAAAATCAGTGATATGTATATTTCATGAATAACAAACTCGATGACGAGAATAGAGAACATATTTGATTCACTATTAATTGCGCCCAGTTCAACGAAGCCTAATCAATTGGTATGACATCAAAGTCTCGCAGATATTTTTATAGAAGAAAAAGCAAATTTTAGTGAGACCCATGCTTCAGTACATCTTTAATTATCAGTGAGCATAAAATCAGATTATGAAGATTAAAATCATAGAGTTAGACTATTTTTTGCTTTCTAAGAATAACGTACGATTTTCATTGCTTTTCCCTGGTGGTTTGTCAAGTATTTTGTTAAAGAAAGCATAATGAAAGTGATAAACTGTGTCGCTTGATGATATTGTTAGAAATCATATTGAATATTGTCTCAGCGAAAAATTGGATAATTTTCTATCGGCTCTACCATGCGTAAAAATCTCTAAACTATTATATATATATATATATATTGAAGCAATGTTTGCAAAAGCAATTTTTTTTATTGTACGATGTCATGACAATATAAATTGTTAATGATACATGATGTATTTTTTCCACTAATTTTAAGCGTGTTCTTATCAAGATTACATCCTAAAATAGATCTAATGATTTTGACAGATTTATTTTGCTCTTAGTTAAATTGACAAAATAAACTCTTTGTTCATGCTTGAGATGAGTTTATAGACCGTTTTTAGCCTGAATACGATGAATTGTGTCTAAAGATGACCTTGTAATTTTCGACAGTATAAACCATTAATTTTATACTGAATTAAACCTCGATGAAAATGGATTTTGTAAATGAATAATAGTAATAAATTTTTTCTTAAGTGTTAAGCCGTACATTTTGTTATTCTTTATAGACATTGTGAAATGTAATTTAATGAGAAAGAGATTGTACCAATTATAATACGATACCAATAGATCTAGCGAAAAGCGTGTGCATGATTTACTGTCCATTGGTTGAATAACTTTTTTTTTTCCAATTAGTGTTTTTCTCGTTTGAGGATTTACTGCCCACTAATTGCTTCGAAGAAGATAAATTAATAAATGAATAATGGTCTTGACAGTCAATCCCTCTTCTGAACAAAAATTGCATAAATGTTGAAAAACAAAAAAGTCACCAGTGAGCAAACTATTGAATAATTTTTCAATTTAAAATGATGGATGCTCATCAAAATGAGGGGTAAGATAGTCATTAATATGACAAAAAATTATAAAAAATATATGTAAATTCGAAGAACATACTTTTCTTATCATACTCTTGCTAAAAATGTCTGCTATATTTACGGAATCTACCCACGGTAAACGACAATTATGCTACCTCGATTATCGATATTCGATCATTCGTAAAAGCTGCTCGACTTCGATATTTTCAGCGTCCACCAAAAAGTTGAACGTCCATTCATCTTTTTTGGTTTATTTATTAATCAATTCCTTGTTCTCTGTGTTATTTCCTCATATATTTGCTCGAATTCTTTTTTTTCGAAATACACATAATTGATTGCGATAAATATTTTTCTGTTCATTTCTATTCTTCGAGGCAATCAACGGACAGTAAATCCTCAAGTGAGAAAAACGCTAATTGGAAAGAAAAAAATATTCAATCAATGGACAGTAAATCCTGTAAACCATTTTTTTTTAATGGTTCAATGAATTAGAAAGAAAGAAAAACTGAATCTCATTCTATTATGCTTGTTAATTTCATATTATGAATTGACTAAGCCATTTCTTCCTAGGACAATCATTTTTTTCATGCCAATGACTTGTAACTTTTGGATGATTCTTTACAATTTGACATCGAATGTATCCACGCGCACGAATAAACCCGACAAGCTTTAATCTGTTGCAAAAATGAATTATTCATTCTATCTCAAATCAGAGCAATACGCCCCTTGGTAACAAAAGAAAAACTACAATTACATTATTCTAAACGAATCATAATTTCCTTCATCTTCAATTTATAACGCAATGTTCCCAATAGAAATATAATATTACTTCCCGATAATTTATGATTTGCATGTCCAATCTAAGAAGAATAGGATACAATCAAATGAATGAATTGATTTTTATTGATGATATATCTTAACCCAACAAAGATAAATAGTTGTAAATAAAATATATTGCAATCAATGACATATATAGTAAAACAGAAATAATAAATACACATATTCTAGTTTAAAAAGTAAACAGCTTTTTCGTTTTCTATTCATAATGACAAGAAAAACAGAGCGTGTACACGCACAAAAAAGAAATACCACCAATAGAATTTAAAAGCAAAGATTTAAGTGTCATTTCCAGTTTCATACATATTTAATGCTTTCATTATTAATAATTTAATATTTTTTACAGCATCACCAGCATCAGGTAAATAGACTCTATCACAATCAATTGAAGTTTTTGTTTTAGTATTTTTTGAATTTAATTTTATAGCTTTTTCTGATTCCTCTTCTTCACTGTGATTTGCTGCGTATCGAAATGTGATGATCTCTGGGGCATGTTTTTTACTTGTTATTTTTGAGACTATATTTAATGGACGACGCGAAACAAGATTAGCCATTGTTTTATGATCGGGTAATTTCCGTAATATATATAGATGTGTCGCCGATACTAATAAAAGGCTAAAACAATAGAACAACAACAAAAAAGGATATATATATATATATATATTATCTTTTATATTATTTAATTTTCTTTTGTCACCTTGAATGAGCTTTTTCATTTTCATCGAAATGTTCACATTCATATTTGTACAATAGATCAGTTCGAAGGAACCATGATTCTATATCAACTAGTTCAGGTGTATCACGTTGTTGAGTTGATGTTGCTTCTAAATAATAGAAAATATATACGAAGAAATAGCTAAGCAAACATAATTTCTTACGATCATCTTCATCGTCTTCGTCAAGTGAAAATACTGATGTTTGATTTTGTCGATAAAGTTTAGTGACTTTATCTTGTTGGCTAACATGTCTATAGGAATACAACAACAAAAATCAATAATAATTTATAATAGAATGAAAATCAGAATCAATTACTTCGGCATTGAATGAGATGAATCATTTGATGATGTGTGATTTATATAATCTTTAACTTTATCTTTGACTTCCATAGATTTTGTTTTAACTGCACTTGAAATCATATTGATCAATGAAACTGTCTATGTAAACAGATTGTTTTTGTTTTTGTATTTACCGAGAAATTTCTCTTTCAATATATTTACCTGTGTATTGATTGCAGGGAATTTTTCTGCAATATTATTTTTAAGTGCTGATCCCATAGTCATAGAATCATGTACTACTGTAGATATTCTATGTTGTTGTGGTTGAATTAACATTGATGGGTCTTCAATTTCTTTAGCAAGAACTATTTGAATAAAGATACGATATTACAGAAAATAAAAACATTTAAATCTTACTTTCATAACCACCGGAAGCGATACTAACATATTTTGTATTTCGTCGAAGAAAATAGGCTACAACCATTCGTACATATTTATCTTCTTCTTCGTGGCCTGAGCCAATAAAACATAAATGTTCACCACCTGCTGCTGAACCTAAACAAAAAACGATAAATTCATGAGAATACAAAGATATACTGGAGATTTCATAAGTTCTACGCCTTGACTAAAGATTTGTCCGATCCAGTCATTGTTTTGAGAAGATGATTTTGGAATTTACCTCTACTATAATTTTGCATAGTGCTTCCATTAGGATCTTTTAATTTGCTTCTCTATGTGCAGACTGACACTTTATTTTATAATTCTTCTTGTATTCTATTTGATATCAGTGATTATATATAATTCGGAGAACTTCTCTATCATAATCTCAGGTAGTCCTAGTCTTGGTAAAACTAATCTACGAAAATAAATCGATTCACGAAAGCTTCGATTACATAGTCTTATTAAACAAAATGTTAGTCGATCAAGCAATCAATAGAAAGCTCTTTACCAGCGTCAATAGCATGTCTTTGTGCAGCTAAAAGAGCATCGACAGTTCCGGCAAATTCTTTTGGATCTTCGAGTAACTAGAAAAATAAACGAAATGTTTTCACAATTTGACATAGAAAATAAAATAATCTTATACAAGATTTGCATCTAAATGAAATGCTGTATAAAGATGTTTGGAGTTGTATTGTTCAGCTGGTCGACAATCAATAATAAAATATCTGACACCTGCCGTCTAGTAAATACCAATCGATATAGAAACTATAACTATAAATTTGTTTTATACTCCTCCTAATTGATTAGCTTGAAGCAACTCCTGAACTGAAACAGGTAAACACAATGCTTGATAAATGGAATAAGCTTTTTGAGAAAATGATCGATCTGTTTCGCTGAATAAACATGAATAGAATTCCTGTGTAATAGAATAAAATAAATTAGAAAAAGAAAAAAAAATTCTATTGTTTAAATATTACTTTGCGGAATGATTGTGGTGTATTTGATGCATAGTGATTAGCTAATGAGCAGAAATCATCTAAATCATCCATACTCAAATTTGACGGTGCTTTGGATAGATAGCCTATTTTAAAATAAACAAAAGTCGATTTCAAATAATACATTAAATTATTTACTAATTATTTCGTTTTTTTCTTTTCCAGCCATTGTTAGCAGTTGCTCCCTAAGAATATTTAATTACAGAAAAACCAACAAACTCTATTATTTGTCAATCTTACTTAGCAAACATAAGTAAAACAAGAGCAAGGAAGAACGCAAAAAATTGATCGGCATGTTGAAAATATCCATCCCAAAGAGGTAGCGTTATATTCAATTGACATGATCCAGCATATAGACTTCGAATCTAAAATAAAAACGAGTCGATGTCACATTTCACAATCTACTAATCATACCCAAATGTGTGCATATAAATCCGGTGTAATTTTCCTTGTATCAAGAAAACTACACAATTCCGGATCATGATAGAGTAATAGTAATCGAAACAAATGATACGGCATTCCATCCGCTTCACAATCGCTGGAAAAGAAAATTAATTTTATTGATTGATTTTTTCACAATTTTTTGTCTTTAAAACGATTCCTACCGAGGTACATAGCGATTACGAATACTGGCAAACAATGCATAGAGTTCAGCACGATTTTTATATTCAAGAGTAATAAGCGGTTTAAATATTTCAATCCATCCATTTCCTTTCTCATAGGTTTCATTACTAAAAACAAATACAAATAGAATGATATTGAATACATTTTTCTCAATTATATCCCTACAATGTTTTGCAGTAATACATAATAACTGCTTCAATATCAGTCGTTTTCAATGTTATCATATTTTGATTTATTTGTAATGTATCTATAAAATTGTCTTTTGTTAATAGCTGTTTTTTTTTTGTCACATATTTGTTTCATGGAGACTTACTTGCTAAACGTGAAATATCATCACGTATTATATTTTGTTCCGGTAAATCAACGATATCTCCATCACTGTAATCATATTCAGTATTAGATTCATTAATATCAAGACATGTCTAGAAAAAAAAGGAAATTTTGATAAAAAACACAAAATTATTATGTTAAAATTAGAGCAACGAAAATCACGGTAGTCTATTAAGTTGCCGCTTTCAGCAAAATAATTACTATTTGTTCGATAAAACCTAGCGAACTCCTCATCTGTCTGCCATTGAAAGACAATTTAGAGAAAATTTGTATTACAAATAAGAATTTTAAATTAATTTCTTACTTTCCAAACACGTAATCTTAGATCACCCTTAAGCGGACGGCATTTGCCTATACTACGAATCGTTCCCAAATCACATCCTTTTTCAATGGCTGCACGTAATTCATCAATCCAATCATTATTCAGAGTATTTGTTGTATTATCATTGTCAGTATCACCATTTAGTTCATGATGATTTAAGTCGACTGGTTCTGTATCATCGTCGAGATTAAATACTCCTTTATTATCTTCCGACATAATCTGAAAGCAAAAAAGAAATCTTTCGTATTATTTTGTTTTACTAAAATATACAGCCTACGATGCAAACTGATACATAGTTACAAGAAAAAAAAATCATCAGTAGTATTTCATGGCTCCAACTCACGAAAGGAAATATCAATAATAATTCCAGCGAAGAGACTTGAATCTCTCTAATTCAATAAGGATATAGAAGAGTAAATGAAAAAAAAAGCAATGTAGTATACTACAGAAATGCAACAGATGATGCAAAAATAAGTTTTGAGAAGGCATCATCTTTGCTCAGTTTATTGGGCTCTAAGTTTTGGAATCACCGAAGGTCATACCTATATATTGCAACATCATAGCAAAGGTTTTCTGATTTGATGCCTCACTGTAGATTCGAACTATGTATCGCTTGATTTCAAGAACAAAAACCACTGCACTAATTTCTGATGTGACTTAGTATTCGTTAAACGTTGAATTTATTTAACTATGAGACGTATTTTTCTATTGTGAGAAAAATTGAAAAAAAGAATGTTTTCAGATCTTTTATGATCGATTATCTACTTTCGAGATTAGCTTATTTTTCTGAATCATGCAAAAAAAGTTTAAATCATTGACGATTTTCTCTATATGTTTTTAGTTCGAATTCGAGTTGGATAAAAATGCTAATTTAGGCTCATTAAACTTATCGAGTTATGATCTCGATCAATATTCTCTTAGTAACTGATATCTACTTGAACGAAAGTTTGTTTCGAAAAAGTTACTACAAACATGTCCATAAATTGGTGCAAATTTCACGACAAATAGTTTACGTTTTTAATATTATAACTCAAAGGGAAATTTTCTTTTTCAAATTCTTGTTTGGAATGATCTAAAAAAGATTCCGTTAAATAGTGGATAATAGAGGATTCTATGATTATATGCATGTTTTCATGATGGATGATTTCAGAGAAAACACATGTGATACCAAACTACTATTCTCACTGCACAGATTTGATAAGTCTGAAAATAAGTAGATGATAATTTTTTCATCAGATTCATTTATCTTATTCTTGCTTTTAAGTCATTATTTGATCCGAAATTCTTGTTCCTCATTGTCATGCTTTATAACGGTCATGTAGAAATGATTATAAATATGTAATGTTGACTTAGTATTATCATTTAAACGATAATGTGCTTGTGACTTGTATTGAGTATTATTATTGAGTAAAATAAATTCAACTAAACATATAACTTGTGTAAATAATGCTGTCAATTTTCGTAGCAAATATTGTAGAGTAGAAGAGTCTTAAAAGACTCACATGACACTATAAATTAGAATTAAAAATTATCTACAAAGGAAAACAAAAATCATGTGATTTACAAAAAAAAAGGAAATAATCGCACAAGAGTTCTATAGTTTTAAAAAGAAAAAGAAAATCATTGATTTATCATCGCAGCGAATTACACATTCAATAAACACCTAAAATAAATATTTACTTTCTTTTTATTTTCTAAACAGAGAAAGAAGAATTTTCAAGAGAACTTTACCATGACATTTGCGTTTCGACGGCTTGTTTTCTTACAAGACGTTTATGATCATCAACACATGTCTTTAATACGTGCATTATATGACGTCGATATGGCTGAATATGATGTATTGGTAATTTTGTTAAATATTTCAAACATTTTAGACTTGTAATACGAATCGACTGAAAAATAAAGTAAATATGTAGTGTTCTTCTTTTATGTGTATTAAATTTTAGTTTATACCATATCTTTTTTATAAGTTGCTAAAGTTGGTAATCTTGAAAAAAGTGTATCAATATGATCAACTACAGTATTTGGATCGGATTTAATAAGATCACATATGGAATTGAGTGATGATGGCCAAACCGATTCATTTGATGATGTTAATGCTCGAATTAAAATAGGGAATAACTGTTCAAAAATAATAGGAAAATATTTAGAAGAAATTCAACTTGTTACTTTAAAAATTCCTACTAAGACTATTTCATCGTGAATAATTGCATTTGGTACATTGCTTAATAAATCAACAAGTATATTTATTTGACTTGGTAATAATTCTAAATGGAAGAATCTTAATATTTTCTATAAATGCATCCATATATTAAACTTTATGGATGCTATTTTGGTTATATATCTGTTGTAGCAAAATATTGGCGATAGTCACTAGCATTGAGCATCTTCTGTCACGGGACTAAGTTGTCAATCAAAATGACTTTTAAATTTTGTTCAGAGTATTTAAACAGTAACTGATTACTCTGTTACTCAATAATATCATTCTTATTTTTGCCTCTCAACTGTTGTAAAAGCTAGCAGCTTCAACATACCAATACCCAATGTTATGGCACAATGAAAGACCTCGGACAACTTGTAGATGAGTATCTGCTGTAGTGGTTAGTTACTGTGGATGAAGATTTCATGCCTTTCTTATTGGTCACTTGTCCTGAATAACAAATTTTGTTTGTTGTGAAGAAGATACCGATTTTGGAACTGTCTGACTAGGCGGCTGATTGATGAATAAAATTATCTATCTGAAATTCTAATTTTTCTTATCAAACTAAAATATTAGTATAGATTCATTTGTGTTTGATGATTTCTTTTTAATATGCAGATATTTATAACATGTACCCCCATAATAGACAATTGAAACGTAATGACGTATAATGACAAATTGTCAAACTCAGTCTCTTTCTTCCTATTTCATGTCATGACATAGGCGATACAAAAAGAATTATTTATTATCCTCTTTACTACTTTATCTAAGTAGCCAATTAACGTTATTCGCGTTTTATCTAATAGTCAATACTGAATATACTTCTATAAAAGCAACAACTCCCTTCTATCTAATTATTAGTATTCTTTTAAAATTTCGAACCATTATTAGCCAAAAGTGGTTTCATTTGCGAAAAGATATTCATGAAAATAAGCTGTTTAACCATTGGATGAACAATACAATCAGCTTCAGATGATAACAATAAAATTTGTTCATCAAAATTGGTTAAAGTTTTTAATGATTTACATGCTATATCACCAATTTCATTTTTCTCTTGCATCCATGTTATTAACTGAAATATTAAAAAAAAACATTTGATCAAAATTCTTTTAATATATTCTACCGTTGGAATATATTGTTCAATAAACGAAGGACGATAGAGAATCAATGCTTTAACAATAATCGTCCATAAACGAATGTGTTTTTCGTCAAGAGATGTTTCACACGATTTTAGCATCGATTGAATTTGTTCAAGTATTTCATCTTAATCAACAACAACAAAAATATTAAAATCACAGGGAATATTGTGCAATAGAATATACTTATTGATGATAATTTATTAATTAAATTTCCATAGAAATAACAATAGATAGAAATCATTTCATTCGATGATTGATCAAGTATTTTCTCAATTAATTTTCCATTGATTTTATTAAAAATTAATTCTAATTCGCTTTCAAAAACCTGTAAAATGAAAGTATGTTATTGTTTTTACTTTCGAAAAATAAAATCTTTTTCTTAATTACCTTTCGTTTTAAATTTCCTAGAAAATAAATGCCGATTAATAAATTGCTTTGCTAGAAGTATACAAATTATTATCATAACTACAAAATAAAATGGCCATTGTTTACTTTATCAGATTGCCAAATAGAATCTTCGAATAAATTTGTTTCGTAAAAATTTTGAACAAATGCTTTGCAACTATATAAAAATTCAATCTATAGTTATATTCAATTCACTGTAGGTTTTTCGTCTTACCTTTCATTAGCAATAGAACCACATTTAGAACAAAACGTTTTTGTATAATTATCATGAGCAACAGATGATAATAACAAATCAAATAAAGGTGTAAATAAATTTGTTAATATATATGAATGTGATAAATATTTGAAAAGATTTGGTAGAAGTCGAATGAATTGTTCTGAAAAATTATTTTACATATTTACGAATTATTTACTTGTTATTAACATACGCGATGGAAAAAAGAAGCGTTCAAGACGTTCTTGACATCGTTCAGAATTATAACATAAATCAACACAGCATTCTAATGTTAAATTAGATGGCACTGTTTTCGATGCTAAATAAATAAATAAATATATATATATATATATGTATACATTAGTATGATCTATTATATAATAGGATGAATGCAAACAATCAATGACATTCGAGAATTACAACTAAGAAAATAAATTTTACTGTCAAACGTCCGTAGAGCATACCAAATTTAGTATCTAAAAATGCAACCTTTTGACGAAGAAAAGTTTTCCAATATGATTTGCTAATCAGATTGATATTTTGCTAATAAGTAGGTCTCATTGTATCTAGCAGAATTCTGATGGATTTCGTCTCTATGCATTGTTCCTACTGAATTTCTCACTGTCAAATTGTGTGTAAAACAATCGAATAACGAAATATTACCTATACGTGCGTATCGTAGACATCGAAATGACCTGAAGTTTTCATCCTCAAAGTATGTGACCGTTTTGTCATTTCGAATGTAGGAAAAACATTGCGATATTTTGTTATTATTCAATACCTCAAAACGAACGAATCTCCTCAGTATGAAATATTTAAGAAGTTCGAAATGCTATCTGCAAATGAATTTTTTTTCTACCTATCTGTCCCGAAATAAAAACAAACAATCGAAGAAAGAGTACTTCTACCTATTGGTAAAATATCAATGCGATAGGCGAGTCACATTTCTGCACGTCTGCTTGTAAGATTCGAAAAATGTCATGAACTAAAAAGTCTAGTTCTAGTTAAATACAGTCACAACTATGAAAATCCAAATATTTTTCGAATACCATTGAAGAAGATTTTCAAGCGTGATTTATTAACCTTTTACAATCGAATTATTTAGAAGAATTTGACTTTCTCATTGTTACTTGAGTATTTTAATTGTAAATTTTTATTTTACCTGTCCATGAATTGATTAAATTTGTGAGTAAAATTGTACATAGACGATCAAATACAGCGGATGATGCTATCGTCTTCAAAACACTCGCTAATTTTATTCTATCAGCATAACGAAATTAGCATTGAATATATTAAATTTTCTACAAACTTTAATTCATCATTGATATTTTCATGTAAAATAAATTTTGTTAAATTATCTTCAAGTGCTTGGCCAGGCATAGTATTGATTTGCAAAAGATTACTCGTTAATGAAAGGCACTGACTTGGAAATAGTTCGAAGTTCGTTGATATGGCTATCCACAGTTCATCGCCTACATCAGTAGGTAATTTGATTATAGTGCGAATATCTAACAAAGGATAAATGAATGATATAGAGGGAATGCTTGTAAAAGTAAATCTTGCCTGTTGGTTGAACAAAATAAGTAATCATATCGAGAATTATTCGTTTATGTTTAGTCTAAATCAAAAGGATTAAATTAGGAAATCCGAAAATTCTTATAAAAATACCTGTTCTAAGTTGTTAAATTGTTTAATCAGTAAAGGAAGTATAATTGACCATATAAGTGATGAGCAAGTTGAATTAGCACGTGCAACAGCTTGAAGAACTTTTGTTGCTGGCCAAACAAGTTGTAAATCGAATTCTTTAAGAAATTTATCACATTCTAAAGCATTGAAAGAATCGTGATTTCATTCTAAAACAAAAATTTGAAATTTTTTACCTCGAATAGCTCGATCAACAAATTTCTTTGTTGAAATTTCTGTTTCATCATTTTGAGCCGTTTTTCCAATTAATTGCATCAATGTAGTTATAGCCTGAAGTGCATAGATTTCCACCTCTTGATTTTCAGCACATAAAGCCTTTAAAAGAAGAAAAAAATCGTAAATTCGCTATTTTTTCTTTTTACCTGTTTACTGAGTAAATTCCATAATGGAACTAAATATGAACTCATATCTCGAGCATCATATTCATTAATACAATGAATCTAAAGGAAAAGATATTTTCTTACTTGATGAGCAAACCAATAATAAGAATTGTTTTACTTACAAAAAGATCCATAGCAGCTACACGAGCACTGGGTATATCAGAATCAAGTTTTTCCAGTAACATCGGTATACAGTATTGAGCGAATTTACCTGTCGATGTTAAAACGTTACGTAACGAAAGAACAAGTTGTTCGTGTGTAATCGTTTCTTCATTTTCATTATTTGTCGCTTTCTATTACAGAAAATAAAATAGAAATAATTCGAGTTGTCATGAAGAAAATGAATGGTACTCGATCATTCAGAGATGAACATAAAATAATTCAAAAAAGTTTTTTCTTCCTGTCGTCTATACACTCTGGATGATTGAAGATAACTTAATTTGTAATTATTCAAATGCATGATTTCAGGAAGAAAAAGAAATCCTGTATTCAGTTACTAAAGAACAGAGAAAAGTAGGCTACTGTGATTGGCAAAATAATGTTCTACAACAGAATCATGTGATTGGATTTTATTGCATAATTTAAAAAGCTTATTAGCTCAGTCCTGTTGGGGCTCAAACGTGGAACTCACATATAAGTTTTCGCCTAATTCTACTAATACACAACACGTAAAGCGTTAAATGTACCACAAGACAGTCGATCGGTAGAAAAAAGAGGGAGGGGAGCCGTAAAATCTCGCTTTTAAACTTACTATTTTCTTCGAAAGTATATATGAGCTCCACAAAGCTATAGAGTAAGCAGAACAAAATGAAACTTATAGTATAAAGGAATTATAATAAATTTCATTTGATGGTAAATGTGCTCATCTTTTTTTTATGATTCCAATTCTTTTCGCTTAGTTTTAACGATAATGGAAAGTTGCGAGAGGTTTTACTACTAAGCCAAAACCTGATTAGATTACGATGAAATAGGACTAGGTGACTAGAATGTCTCATGGAAATTAGATATAATCATACAGATCTCATGCCCGAAAGAAGAAGATTATCATCTTCCCACATGAACAGAATAAAATAATTTATCTACAAGGGCACACATTGTGCGAGATGTGTCTTATGGCGTCCTTTCCTTTAATAAACTCTTCCTCCCCTCTACAAGGCTAATTTGACACATTATTGTGTTGGATAATGTGACTGCAAATTGCAAATAAATATTCCTGATATATGCTCTATAACTTAATATTGTAAAATCAATATGAAGTATCTTACTGGTTTATATTCCATTGGAAAATAGCATGCAACAACTTCAAACAGTTCTTCTTTATAAGGTTCTAAATAGTGGGAAGAAGAAAAAAAACGATATGTTTTTGTTTTTTGGTGATAACCATTTCTTGCTTTACCAATCTCTAAATGCTTCGTCATGCATTGTAAACACTGAAAACATAGAACCAGATTTCTTGGATCACGTTCACCATCCATTGCTTGTATAAAATTACAAACAAAATCACTGCCAACTTGTTGAACAACTTCGAAAGAGAAAACAAAATCTCTTAAAATAAAAACTGTGTTTTTCTTATTCATTTACCATCAAGACGATATAAAAGAAAATGTAAAAAAATAACATAGACATTATATCGACTTGCTTGTGGAAATGATTGTACATAGACATCAGAAAATATTGCTTTTATTATTAATAAACAATCATCATCACAGATAGCGGCTTGTTTAGCCTAAAAGAGTAGACAATCAATAAAATTATTTTATTATCTATTTTCAACGAGATTTATTTTACCAATATACGAAATAATTGAACAGATGGCTGTACAAGTATATGATGATCACTCATTTTTGCACTTAAAAAAACTATTAAATGATGAACTAAATAAAAGAAATTGACTGTAAACAATCGAAAACAAGTAAATTAATTCATTTTTTTACTTTCATTTGATTCCAAAAATGTACTGGGCAAATGTTCGAGAACATTTGCACCTAATGTTAAAGCTATAGATCGTTTTGATAATTCTGTACTTTGAAGATGATCACTAAATATATATTTTTTTCGCAAGAGTAACACAAACAATTGTCTTTTTTCCTATTCATTTACCCAATGCTAACAATAAAATCTACTAATGCCAATTCTTTCGTTTTCAATACTAAAATTAGAAACATTGAAAAAATAAGTAAATAAAGTTCTTTTTCTTCACATACATTGTCCTAGTTGGCTAACGATCGTTTCATCGCGATCGTTAACATATTTTCCAATTAATTCATGATAGCTCATCGTGAAGAGTAGTTTGAAAAAAGATCCGATTTTTACAAGTATTTCGGATGCGTTTAACATCATCCAATAGAAATCGATTTTATTAGTTTTTCTATTGGATGCCAAACATCTACTTACAACGTGTTATAGAACATTCATTCTGATTCATACATGATAATAATAGAGTACAATACTTATTTCAGTAATATAACGGAGCAACCGATCAAGTATCCGTATTGGTGAGTTTTTGTTGAAAAACGTCTCTCCATGGAGAATAAATATTTGTCTAACTTGCTAACGAAGAAATATTGCGCTAGTATTATGTTTCTTTTTATTCTTATACCTTTTCAAATGGAATAAAAAAAATAGAATAAGTAATAAATAATTCGATTATTGCCTAGAGGAATAAAATCAACTATTGATTCTTGTTTGAATTTTTGACAAAGACGGGAGACAACCAGTAGAGGTACAATCTTTGATTGTGTTTTTCAAGCAGTTTTTATTTATTGTCAATATATGACAGACAGCTAACATAATCAGCTGGTAATAGCCGGTGACTCTATGTTGTTCTTTTTCTTTCTGTGTGGCTCATTTCAATACCGTTATAAAATAAGCACAATATCTCTACCATCATTTCTGTATTTAGCTGTCTAGAATAGGATATCCGCGCAAGAGAAAAAACATCCATTAGAGTATCCCAGGTTTGCTTTATTCGTAATGATGCATCATAAAGTATTCATTAATAAGCGTTTTTATATTTATTGTAATCGGCAACTATTAACGTCAAATGCAAGATAAGTCTAGTTTTTAAGTCATCAAAAGTCGAATGCCTAGATCTTTGTCGAAGTAATAGAAAATAGATTAGAATTTTTTTAAGAATTCTTACGATGATTGTTATAAAAATTTTCATTATCTATTAAGATTGCAACATTTTCTCTCATCTATTCAACATAAATATACAATTTGCATAGGTCAATGACTAGTTAACGAATTCAACATTGATACTGTAATTTATTACATTTTGCTTGTTTACACTTCATGTTTTTTTTGGTTTCCATAGTTATAGACTCGAGTATACACAAGTGATGCATGATTGCAAGACAAACTTCATAGTGAATCGTTTCAAATAAAATAGATAAGCTGAAAATTATTCTCTAGTCGCATTGATTTTCACATGTTAGAGTTGATCAATTGTAAATGAGTTGGCTCAGTACGTTATAATTTATTTGCTTGTCTTAATTATCAAATAGAACTTTAATTGAAATCAGAATCTCTTTTTTTTACTGTTACGACCTTGAAAATAGCATTCAGCGTCTACCTAGATTAGTATTGGAAAGCCTGATGAATGCATCGAATATGCAGCATGCTTAATCATCCGAATGACAATAATGTGACAAATTTTTATTTTTCTGTTCTCCAAAGTCGCATGGATAGAACAAATAAGATTTTTTTCGCCGTTCACTACTTGCCATATTACCTTGATATTAATGCGTTCTTAGCGGTGCCTCATTTCGTGTTATGGAAGAAAAATATTCGTACATGAAAATAACGATATCAACCATGAGAATGTGATTAACCGTTGCTTTCATTTTTTATTAATATTTAGATTCATGCATCCAATAGTTATCTACATATTTTTATTTCTCAATTGTTTTCTATCATGCCAAACCAATAATAATATTGCTTATAATATTCCTGATCCGGGTATGTTATTTTTACTTTTGAAGAGTTTTCATAAGTTTTTCTTTTGTTTTTTGCATCCCGTAGATTGCACCGGTGCTTTTAGTTTGTGTGTTGATGCTGATAAAGATCGACTTGGTCGTGAAGCAATCAAAGTTATACATGAACAAATGGATGATGATAAGGATGGCATGATTGAAGCATCTGAAAGCAGTGATGTAAGATTTTTTTACAAAAATAATGCACTTTTTTAAATGAATATGCATATTTTTAGTTTATCAAAGAGGAATTAGAATCTCAAGCTGACTCTATTCGACATCGTCATTTTCAAAATGCTACTATACAAATAACACTTGACGATCTATGGATGCAATGGCAAAAGAGTGCTAGTAAATTTCTCATGAATTCTTTGATATAATCTAATCGTTAATCGTTTAAGTTTATAATTGGAGTAATGATGATGTTATAAATTGGCTTGTTAAATCTGTTCATTTGCCAATGTATGTGGAAAACTTTCGTCGAAATCAAATCGACGGTCGAATGATTCCAAGGTTTAATCGAAAACATGTTTTAATTCAATGGCTTCTAATTGATTTCTTCCTTTTTTAATTGATTTAGATTAGCAGCTAATCAAAGACACTATCTTTCAGCTATTATGCATATACGTGATCCAAGACATAAACGACGTCTGATTATTAAATCAACAGATGTTGTTCTATTTGGTCCGCCACAAAGTAAACTTTCATTTCGTTTTAAATTAGTATTGTACGTCTGTTTGTTTTTTAAGATACACATAATTTGATAAAAGATATTATTTTAATATCAGCAGTACTAATATCTTTTGGTGCTTGTTTATATGCATATATACGTCATCGTAAAACTCAAGAAAGTATGAAAGCTATGCTAAAAGAACTTGAAACATTGCAGGCAGCCGAAGGTGACCTGGTGGCTGTTACTGGAAAGTAAGAAATTAAAATATATGATCATCTTTAGATCTGTTCTAGTAGAAATTACGATATAGATGCATGATGAGATATTTTAAGTTTGAAGCTTTCATAGACAAAATGATTTTTTCTCTACCAAAAGTTTTGATGAGAAAGTTGACATTGAGTACTTGAAAGCTATTCTGTAAAACAGGATTTATATGATGAGAGTGGTAGTTATTTGTTTTCATTTTCAATACATTAAAAATTTCCTATCATGCTTTTTGAACCTTTCTTCTGATGAATATTTTTCTCAGGCATAATTACAAAAATCTAAAAATTCCAATGACCTTGGTACAAAATCAGTTTTTTGGAGGATACATTAATAATACATATTTGTTTTTGTTCAATAGAATGAAAGCGATGGAAAATGAATTACAAGATAAAGTAAAAGTTGAACGTGGCGTATTAAATAGTTGGTATATGGAAGTGCAACGAACAAAAGTAAAAGAATAATTCTATTTTATTGGTTTAAAAAAATGTCTTTTACTTTTTCATTAGGACGAAGCTGATAAATATCGAAAACATCGTGAACGAACTCTTGGTCATGAGAGTCAACTTCATTTAGCCATGAAAGAAATCGAGCAAGTAATAAGAAACAAAATTAGTTTTTAAACAGAATAATATTTCTGGATAATTTTATCTACATTAGTTACGTGTTGCATTACGTCAGGCTGAAGAACATGCTCATTATCAATCGTATGATGCACCAAATGAATTAATCGACTTACTTAAACGTACTTATCACGTTGAAGAATTAGCGTTTGAAGTCAAACGTAGATCAGCCGAAAGTGCAATGCTTGCAGCTAAAGATCAGGTAAATAATAATAAAAAAATATGGGTATTTCAACATTTCTCTTCTAATTATATGTGTAAATATTAGATGAATAAAATTTCTAAAATGCAAAGAGGCTTTTTCGGTGCTGTACGTATAGCACATACGGGTTGTATGGATAATATAAGTGAATTGATAAGTTCTGCAAAGTAAGTTTATATTGTTTTGATTTTCAAAAGAATTTTATTATATTTATTGTTTAGACAACGCCTGGCAATCGTTCAGGATGAATGTGAAGAACGTGAAAAACGTTGGAATCGTATTTCTTCCATACTTGATCGAGAAGATCTAATTAATTACTCATCATCATTATCATCAACAACAATGCCGATTAGTGGCAATCAATATTCAAGTGGAATATCACAGACATCAGCGAATAATGGCACTAATAATAGTTTATCATCAGGTGACTACTTGTGTTGATATAATAGATATTTCTATAATGATCTTGATTTTATGGTTAGTTTTCTGTTTTCGAGGTGAGTGACGCGCACTCGTTTATTGTCAAAAAACACTAACATCTCACTCAAGCATGTATGCAATGCTTTTAATTTTGGATGGTTTTATTATTTTGATGAAAAATATTTAAAACATTATTTCAGCTGTATTGAAGGATACTTCGAGAAGAAAAACGAAAGTTCTATTTGACGTAGAAATGTTTTTCTTCAGCATTTTTATGTTTTTGGTACTTAGTTTTCGATAGTCGTCAGTACAATTTTAGCTCGAGAGTTTGCGCTCGCGCTTCTATTCTGATGATTTCTGGATACTCATAAATGTATCTAAAGTTTTAATCAATGAATTTCAAACATAGGATTTGATAATTAGTTTTTCAGTGAAACCACAACCGTTAGGCTATGATGTTTATGAGAAATACTGAAGTTTTATTTTTATTTTCTTGTATAAATTCTTCTTCTATTTAGATACAAGTTCTCGATCTAAACGAACACCTGTTGAAACAAGTAGTTTACTTAATGCAAATAATGATTCGCAAGTAATGCGTCTCACAAATAGGTACGAAATAATTTATTTGAAATATTGAAAATTTACTAATACTCTTAATGTTATTGAATATTAAGCTTCCTAAATTTTGATTTATTTTTTCGCATAGAGATTGTTTATAGAGAAAGTTTTACAACGGATTTCACTGAGAAAAGGGTAACAAATAAATCAATGAAAGTATATAGACTATTTATATTTTGACATCTCCATAGCATATACAGAGTAAATAGATCTAATAGACGGCTATTTATTCGTCTACTAGGTCTCTGTTAGAAGTTTTGATGAGAAAAAACAAATTTTCAACACATTCTCATAGGGTCTAAATATATCAATTCTTGTTATTATTGGCATTCTATCTGACAAAATCTATTTTTGAAAATATTAATGATAATTTATTGATGTGCTGATCTCTAAATCAATGAAAGATTGGTTTAATATTTAATAATTTTGATTCATAAAATTAAAATATAGAATTTCTTTTAGCAATTTAAATATTCGCAGATCGGCAACAAATGCATTACTGTCAAGTTCAACTGCTCAACAAGATACAAAGAATGAAATTGATATTTCTCTTGACCATTCAAACCCTTCATCAGCGACATTACGACGGCGTGCAATTGTAAACAATGCTTTATCAAGTGATCGTTCATCAACTGACCGTCTTTTAAATACGGCAACATTAGTTTATTCCTATTCAACAAATGGTCTTCACAATTTAGATACAAATTCAGTAGGAGGCAATACACCTGATTCCGCTGACACATCATTATCATCATCATCAACAGTAGCAACAGCTCAAACAAAATCATTCGTTGGTACTATAGCTGATTTTCATCTAGATAATTGTGATTCTATATTTGATGATAACATACAATGTGATGCAACATCTCAAATGTCAGACTTTGTAGGCGATGATCAACAATCTATAGTGTCGTCAGAAAAAAGTCGAAGATTGGCACAAAAACTTTTCAGGCCATTTCAAAATATGCGTCTTGGTAAAAAGGCAAATCTTACATGAAACGAATTTTTATCTATTTTATTATTTCTATTGCCGGTGCTTGCCCATCAATCTCAATGGTTTCTTTTCTTTTTCCAACTATTCTCTATTACTTATTTGTTTTTCTTGTATGAATTAAAGTCAATTTTATTCATTTGGTGATAACATCTGTTCGCCGTTTCACTTTGTATGTGTGTGTGTGTGTGTGTGTGTGCGCCAGTGTGTGATTGTGAAAAAGGAAGACAGGTAACGAATTCACGTGTTTGTATTAATATTTATTTATTCGTTTTGTTTTTTCCTGTTATATTCAGATAAATGTTAAATTGGCACCATTTTTTTCATTGCCAATATATTTAGAAAATTATTGATAATTCTTACTTGTTTTTGAAAATATAATAAGAAAAAGAAAACTATTAATAAAGATTTTATTATATTCGAACACTTTTACAAATGCAATACTTTGACTTCTTGCCACTCATTATTGTTTCATTTGAATACGTCGAAAGAAAAAGTTTCCTTCATATCGTACACACTTTTTTTTATGTCTGAATAATATATATTCTTAAGGGTGACACATAATTAATTACCAGAGTAAACGATATCACTCGCAAGTATGACGTTTTAAAAACTGTAATGATGCTATCATCTATCACATAAGCTAAAATATACAAATAAATAGTCTACATCAGAGCTCCGCGTGGAACGTCCCATGGGACGAACATTTTTAGAAAATTTGAAGCAGACAAGAAAGGATCGAAGTCTCTTCCGAGGTGATTCTATTATATGCTTACTATCTTTATCCATTAAAATTATATTTATTGACGTAACTGACCGCTTTCAAATTTTATTCTCATATTTTAAAACATTTTCGGTATATGTTGTTCAATTTACCAAAAATATTTTTAAAAAACGAATACAAGCTTTTAAAAGTCATCTAAGACAACGATCTTAATTTTAATGGATAGCGATAGTATGCATATCATAGAATCGTATCGAAAGAGATTTTGATTCTTTCTTGTCTGCTTAAAATTTTCTAAAAAAGTTCGTCCCATCCCGTCCCACACGGAGCGCTGGTCTACATTCTGTTCTACAAAACTGAACTTATAAAGAGAGATCTTCAACTTCCGGATTTAATAGACTTCAATCAACGTACAGAGTTGTATCGTGCACGAAGGCTATAATGAAAATCTATTGAATCTATTTCTAGTTTTAAGAAAATATTTTTCAGCACTCAAAAATTGAATGCATACTTAGTACAATCATTTTTACGCTATGAGTAATAATTATTTCCGTTTTTTTTTCCAACTAAAACTATTAGCAATGAATCATTTACTCATATGCATCGTAGAAAAGATTGGTCCATATAAATAGTTAGTTGAATTTTACATTGTATGATTTTAAAATGTTTAAATCAAAATTCTTGAGTCGAGTTAACCATTATGAAGAAAAACAAAACATCATTCATTTGTTATTTTTATTAGAATTTTAAGAAAATTATTTGAAAGCCTTTTGTTCAATACTATTCTTTCATTTAATTGAATTTTTATACTTTAAAAAAAATGGAAACATATTTTTCTCTCTAGAAATACACGTCTTTACATCCTTTCGGCTGCAAATAATGGCATGTCACTAATTGATGTCTTCAATTTTACACCAATCTTGTCGTTTTTTTTCTGATTTATACATGAACAAAAATAACCAACATAAACAATCGATAGTAAATATCTAGCTGCTTTGCCTGTTTCTTTATAGATTGTTTTCCGCTCTCTATTATTTTATTCGAGTTCACTTTCAACGATACTTCCATTAACATAACTACCAGTATTATCGGCATTGTCATAATTATTTCCACTATCGAGCGAAATAAGTTTCGACATTTTATTAATACTTTGCCGTTCAACAGCCCATTTCCAAAGTGCTGAACTATCTGAATGATCAATCATAAAACCAAAACGTGTAAAATAATTTCTTAATTGTTCTCCATTAGTATGAACGGTTAATAGAAGTGCTTCTGCTTGTCGAGCAAAATGTTCAACACATTCAAGTAAAGCTGCACCTATACCATGATTTCGATATGAATTTTTAACACCGATCATTTCAATGTAACATTCATTTGTATTTTTTGGAATATAATTTGCGTTTCGTACCATCCAACGACGCATTGATTTTATACATGAATCTACTTGTGGAAGTATATCATTATTTGAAATAGTTGTTGTTTCTTCAGGAAATGATAATGTTACTGCTGCTACAACTTCACCGTTTATTTTGCCAAGAAGAACATTACGAAATTCACGTGCATTTAAATCGTTATTAATTCGACTTTTCACTGCTGTACGAAATCGTTGTATTTGATCATCTTCACCAATAAAATGAGCTAAACGATTTTGAAGTACTTCAAAATAAATATCAAGATATGCATCAATATCAGCTAAACTAAATTCATGTATTTCAATAACATCACTTTCGCTTAGCGTTGTAACTGATGTTAAAAACGCATCATGATCAATTGTTCCAGTATCTTTTGATTGTTGAGATTTTTGTGGATGTCTATCAATATCATCATAATCGTCATCATCTGTAACTGTAGCTAATTCAATTTGTTGATATTTTGACATAGGATCAATAGTTGCTTCAGTTGAAAGTGAACTTTGAACTGGTGCAGATGGTGATTCTGATGGATACATAACTGCGTTTGAATAATTTAATGGCGAATGTATAGACTCTTCTAAAGTTGATTCATTAACTAATATCTTTTCAAATTGTTTTGGTTGTTTTGATGGTATAGATTCTGATAATGACACATTACCATTTTCCATGATACCATTTGAATTAGCTGAATGACGAGATCGTGTTGGTATTTGCGACCTTTTTGATGGTGTTTCATTCATATTAATGTTATTTCTTCCGTCGATTTCTTCATCCTGTAAATTATGTGTGTTCATCATCTTTTAATAATCATTCAAACTCTAAATCCAAATGAAGACAGGTGACCGTGAAGTTAGTTTTCTTTCGCTTTCGCTTTTTCTTTTTTTCTAAATTGAAGGACTATTCGATTGAAAAGAAAGCGAAATAAAAAAAACACATGAGCGTATATGTCGAGAGAAAACCGAGCCGTTCAAGCGTAACATTTTTCCCATGACTGTAGTATTTTGTTCTATTCTATATATTTACAAAAAAAAGAGGAAGATGAGGGACAAATATTAATGCCTTTCTTTTTCTTTCATATCTTTTACCTTTGCGATGACGGCAGTTGTTTGTTTATAGCCGTTATTAACGTTGCAGATATGTATACTTTCATAATTAAGAGTAACACATCATATAGAAAGTATGCGTGACATAAAAACAGTGCAGCACATCAATTTAGATGGATGAAATTCCATTGGTTTGTTTGTTCTGTTCCGATTTTAAATATCTCGCATATTTTTATAAGAGTGTGAAGGCAAAATTAAGACCTAACAATGATGATTCGTTTGACTAATGTTTGTCACGTTTTCTTGAAAGCAATTAAATCAGAATGATTGATACGCAGTGTGATTGTATGACTAACTAATGACATAGTTTGTGGATATTGTTTGTTGTCCTTATTATTTTACAACATTATGTAGCTGCGTGGTTATCTAAATCATGAAGACCAATGAAGCTGCCAGAATAGAGAAAGAAAATTGATGAAAACATTAGCCACTATCTATTAGAAATACTTCAAAAATAAAATCGAAAAACAACGGGATCGTTCTCTAGCATACATTAATTTGACAAAGTTAATCTTACTTGATTTATTTATCGTTGAACGGGTCTTATAATACTGGTGATTAGTTACATGTACTTTTACTATTTATAGATCAGTAGCACAAAGCTAATCAATATATACTATTTTATATCTGAAGTGTGATTGTTTTTCTGTAGTGATTATCTATTCGTCGGTATTTCGACTTGTACTAACACAACACAATATATATTCAACGGACTGAGAATAAAATATAAGTTTTCATTCATGTATTTCTCAATAAATTTAATTAACAAAAAGAAAACTTGAAAATAAGACTGCAGACAATGATGAAAATGTTCACGTATGAAGACGAGGGGATTCATTGCTACGATATACAATAGGTATTGATAATCCTGAATTGCTCAAACAGGGTTGCCACCTCTTCCGCTTTTTCAATTTTTTTCCGCTGTCCCGCTTTTTCGTATAAAACGTGTTGCATATCAAACCTACGTACAGAATAATATTTGATATTATTGAATCAATTCTTATTGTTCACAAATACCGTGAGCCGTCATTCTTTTATGTTTTGAAACTTTGATGAAATAAAAAGAAATCCAATAGATATTTAAAAAAAATGCCTAATATTCTCAGAAGCACCACAAATCTGCAACAATATAAGCTTCCGCTTTTTTTGTTTTTCTTTCCGCTATTTTTCGCTTTTTAAGATCAGTTTCCCGCTTTTTGGACTTAATCAGGTGGCAACCTTGTGCTCAAATCATCACGATTAAGTAAAAGTCCAATTCGATTTCAACGTTCTTCACGTTCTACATATTCATCATGAATTTCAGTTAATCGTTCTCTATGAAATGAAAAAAAAGAATAAATCATAAAAAAATTAACAAAATATCTTACTTAACATTAACTATACAATTGGTATGTGCAATTCGTAGAGCATGAAAAACTCCTTTCTGCATTTTAGATATTTTATTCATCTAATGTATACATATATAATTAGAAAAAAAGCATTTAAAAGTTTTTGTTATTATTCACTTGCTCTTTAGCTGTCATTAAAGAATTTTCAGTTAATTTTCGTTTTACTTCAAAAGCTATTTCTTCAGTACGATAAGTACGTTTAAGTAAATCAATTAATTCACTTGATGGTTCATATGATTCTTGTTGAGCATGTTCTTCTGCTTGATTTAACGCAATTTTTAACTAAAAAGAATTTTATTTTGATAGAAAGACAAATCTAATATACTGATATTGTTCCATTTGTTCAATTTGTTGTAATGCAAGACTTAATTGTTCTTCATAATCGATCATTGAATCACGACGTTTTTGAAATACATCTGCTTCTTCCTTGAATGAGATTAAAAATAGAATAATATGTTATTCATTTTCTAAATAGTTAATGACGTTCATTTGTTGTATTTCATTTAGCCATTTATGTAGAATATTTTGGTTCAGTTTTTGCGTTTGTTTTTCTTGAGTTCGTTTACTTAAAATAGAATTTAATTTATTGAATGCAAAAAAGAAGACATCTACCACTTTTCAGTCACAGCTAATAAATTGCCTTCAGCTGTTTGTAATGTTTCAACTTCTTGTAATATTAGATTCATGTTTTTTTGTGTTTGACGTTGACGAAGAAATCTATATATACAGACACCATTGAAATCAATAATGCTGATATAAGAATGATATCTTTTGTTAGATTATGAGATTATAAATGGGGAAAACATCCAACCATCGAATACAATCAATAGAACTATTTTCCAATTGGATTGTTAATCTAGGAGTTGCAGAACATTATGTATGTTGTTGAAAAAAAAAAGAATGGAAAACAACTTTTATCTCATGATAGAAATAAGAAAAGTAATTCTAATTTTCTAGTAAATAATGATAGTAGTATAATTCGATTGAAATATTCTTTAACTATCAATGGATTGTAAATTATTGGCCTGACACATATTTTCGAAGTTTGATTTTTTTCCCTTCAATGAAACTTAATTGCTACGATTTTTCTTCAACTCTCATGAAGTTCTACTGACAGTGAGTAAAAATTCATTAGTCGATTTCCTTATAAAATTGAAATAGACTAACTTTGTGACGGTCCGAATAGTACGAGATCGGTGTCTTTAATGATAAGTCGCCGTTTATCGCGTACATCGTGAATGTGCATAACCGATGAAATATGGTGTTTTTCATTAACTCCCAAATCTGAAATGATTAATGTATATATACATGAATAAAAATCTATAAGTAAACAAGTCTGATATTTCGTCTTTTTTTATTATTTACCTTGGTATCATTCGACCATCGAATTGATTACGATGCAAATTTTCGACATATTGTGGTAAATGTGAAAAATTCACAAGTCAAGTGACTACATTATCTGTTGTCCAATTGTAAACTATAAGTAAAAAACCGGTGAAACTTAGCTCTTTTTAAAAATTTATTTGATATGAATAGAATAAAAAATAGAACCTGGATTATTTTGCCATTGCATCCATAAATCATTAAATGTAATTTGTACATTAACCTTTGGAAATATGTCGCACAGCATCCGTCGTTGATTCAAGTTCTTCTTTAATAAACTGATTTAAAGGGGGGGGGGGGGGGAAGAATTCAATTTTAAAAATATTTTTTTTTATATTAAATATTNCCCCCCCCCCCCCCCCCCCCCCCCCCCCCCCCCCCCCCCCCCCCCCCCCCCCCCCCCCCCCCCCCCCCCCCCCCCCCCCCCCCCCCGAATTCAATTGTAAAAATATATTTTTTTATCTTAAATCTTACATCAGTACTTTCAGACGATTGAAAGAATCCATCTTTATCGCCATCCATTTGTTCATGTATTGCACGCATGGATTGACGTCCCAGTCGTTCTTTGCCAACATCAGTACAAATATTGAAAATGCCAGTACATTCTACTGAAATATTCCATAAATTTTATAATAAAAATCGCTCGAAAAATTACCTGGATCAGGAATATTATAGGCAATGATATTATTTTGATCACTTTGATGATAATAATAATCAAACGAGACAAGACAGATTACTATCAAAGTAAAAAATTGTTCCGTACGAAGACATGAATCTAAAAATTAAAACATACGAATATTCTTTTTATTTTGATATAAAAAATAGTTCACAAGTCGAATAAATAGAGATATAATAAAACCTGATGTATATTTTTTCTGAGATGTTATATTCAGATAAAATTAACTTTAGTAAGCATTCAACAGACGAAACAGCCAGGGTTCTTGATCAAACTAACAATACCTATTCACAAATTCAAATGTTGATACACATCAAAGTAATACATCATTATCTATGACAAGGCATGATTAGGCATGCACCGAACCCGAACTACCCGGGTTTCATCATACCCAGATTCGGTACTGGAATTCGAAGGTCTACTTATTCGTATCCTTCGAAGTATAGAAATGAATAAGAAATAGTACCTATAGATCGATAGTAACAAATGATTTTATTTCAAAGTTTTATGGTCTTTTCCTCAATCGATCATAGATAATCTTATCTATCAGGAACGTATACAATTAAATGAGCTTTTATGAATATTTCTCTTGAACTCAGCTACAGGAAGTCGTCGAATAATTCTCCTTATTGAAATGATCCTTCTGATAGTCTAAGTAGGGATGTGAGGATTCGAATACTACCAATACCAATACAATTTAGTACTTTTGATATCGATATTAGCATTATTAGTATTGATATTGTTAGTAGACCGATGGAAAAAATCATACATCTGCATTTCCGGAAAACTTAATAAGGAGAACCATTCAACGATTTCTTGTAGTTGAGTCCAAGATAAATATTAAAAGAAGCTCATTTAACTGTATTCGTTCTTGATAAATGAGATTAACTATGATAGGTTGAGCAAGGTAAAGGATCTTTGACATGAATTCATCTTTTATCATCTACTATATAATCCATAGGTGCTATTTATTATTCATTTTTATTCTTCGAAGGATACGTATAAGTATACCAGCAAATTGCAGTACCGAATCTCGGTATAATGAAACCCGGGTAGTGCCGGGTACCCGGTACGACCGAACCCGGGTAGTACTGACCCGAACTACCCGGTGTGTACCCGGGTTCGGTGCATGCCTAGGCATGATACTTTAATATAAATTCGATTTAGAATTGACCCTTGTCTTCTGTTTTTATTTTATGTTTGAACGTTGCCTTAATTTACAACTAAGAAATATTGAATCATTATTTTTGACAATCGAACCATGCAATTTTCATTTTTAACTTAGTTAAAATGCGAACAAAAGCAAACTCATTACTCACTCATTTTCTATTGTTTATTTGTTTCATAGACAAGTGCGTAATACACAGAGAAAATTTCTATTGAACCGTAGTATAGCTATATAGATAATATCATCGATCCAATAGAAAAGAAATTCATTTTACTTTTTATTAATTCGATTTTCATTTATCTATCGATAATTTATGTTTTCTCGCTTATTTTGTTAAATCAATTTTGTTTTTTGATAAATTTTATCATAATTGAACATTCATTATCATGTGAAAAACATCATAGTATACACACGATATGTTAGATATCCCTATCGAACACTTGTTTCGAATTATAATGAACATTGAATCTTCGCATGTTTTTTCTCTAAAGCATAAAATTGAATATGCTCGATAGTCTCATCGCATCAAATATGCAATTATACTATGATTATAATGTGTCAATACATCGATGACTATGTTCAACATCACATTATATTCAATATTGTATTATTACGTTATGACAGGTTCATTCATTCAAGTATTAAAACAATCGTTATAAAGAAATATCTAAACGTAAAAAACTCATATATATATATTTATTGTCAAATGAAAGTAGTAATTTTGTAATCTAATGTTAACATTATGGAACGAAAACGTTTTTGATTTGTCTTATATAGAATTTTTTTTTCATCATTATCCAATTTGTCATTGCCATTTGAGAGTTGATGACAGATTATACTTATCGGTTCATCTAAAATATAGTTGAAAGACAGATGAGCATAGTTTTGTAACTTGTACAGACCATAGTAATGGTACGAGCTGGTTGAATATAAAGTATATTATTATCATGTCGTAAAAGTATTTTCAATATCAATAAAATTGAAAAGATAAGGATAATTATATGAACTACTATGATAATTATACTATGTTTACTATATCCTTAATTTCTTTTTTTGAAAATAATTAGGGTCAATAGGCTTTACGTTCAGCAAGATATATGCTTCAATTATGAATGAAGTTCTTTTCAATGGACGCGAAATCGCGATTGGCAAGGCTGCTTATTAGTGGACAGAAGTAAAATTTGTCTAATATCCGTTATCATTAGTTTAATTTGAAAGAAAAAAGAGAGAGAGACACATTTGCTAGTTTCGTTTATTATCAAAAAATATGATGTTGACGGTCGATAGGCGTATACTATTTGCATTAATGAGCCACGAAAAAAAGAGAGTTTGTCACTACCTATCAAACATATATCTATCACGGTTCAATGATTAATTGTTAGACCGACGAACATTATGCACACATTCATATATACGCATTCATATCCATTCATTTCTTGCATGAGAGAAACACCGTCAGAAATAATATAAGCTGTTAAGGTTAATAGAAGAATCATCGTTTCATCTCTCATATAAAATTTGATCTGATCTTATTGTTTTTTCTCATGGCTTTACTCGAAGATCCAACTATTCAACGTATTCTCGATGAAGTTAACAAAGCTGCTAGCGGTGGAATATTTGGTATGGCTGGTAATTATGTATCAAAACCAAGAGAAACAATGACACCATTTGAATCAAAACTATTATCATCTGAAAATAGTAGTTGTAATCATAATCAAGCACCACTTTTTTATACAACACCAGAAATGCTCGGTATGGAAGAATTAAAAAATTTTGATCATAGCATTAATTTAAACTCAATACCATCTATGGTACCTGTGGCAAAATCAACTAGTTTTGATTTTTATAGTTCAGCCTACTATAATACAACACCAAGTAATTTTTTATCACCTTATGAAAATTGCAATGGTATTACACAATTGAATATAAAAAATCAATTATTCAATAATAATCCAACACGTAGTAGATCCACTGTTTCATCAACTAATAATGATATATTACTTGAACGTCATCAGCATCATTCTCAACAATATCATTCAATACCATCGACAAGTATACCAAATCTTGGTCTAAATATTCGTGCAACATCTCAATCAGATAAAGTACCAACTGAGAATATCAATTTAAGTGAGCTTTCATTAACATCTGAACAAATGTCTACTGCTGCAATAAAAAATGTATCAACATCAACAAGAAGTTTACTTGTTGATAAAGAAGAGAAAAATACATTTAAATTAAATAATAGTAATGATGATATTGATCGAGACAATCTAAGTAAATAATTCGATTTTCTTCTTGTTCAATTTTCATCTATAAAAGAATTTTTAGATTCTCCTGGTCAAATTTTTTATGATCCAAATCCTCAAATTATTCAACGTAAAGGTTCTCATTCCGTAACATATAAACAAAATATAATTGTTCGATTTTTACAACCACCGCCAATTCCGAATGCTGGCCCACTCATCATTAAAGAAGTAAATATTAAAAAAAAAGAAAAATAACGATTATTTACACTTAATCAATCCGATTTGTTTTAGGTTCGTCCTCCGCAAACTTCTCCACTTCCACCACTTGTTATTAAACGTAAATAACTTTATTTATTTCTGTTTGTGTATTTTATTTTTTCCCTCCTTTTAGAACGTCCAACTCCACCAAAAACTCCACCACCGCTTATTATTCGAGAAAAACCACCACCACTTCCTTCAAGTGTGGCAACAAAAGTGATAACACGGTAGAACTTGAATTTTCAATCTTTCTCTTTTTTATTTTTCGCACCAAAATAAATGTTTAGACAATTACCGCCAGAACCTGCACCACCACGAGCTGTTATTATCGAACGTTTACCTCCATTACCATCGAAACCTCGAGATATTATCATTGAACGTTGGTTACCCTATGAAATACTCGATAGAAAACGTAAAGTTATCGTACAGCGTGCACCAAAATCTATTAAAGAACATCCATCACCAAAAAATATCATCATAACGTATGTGAAGTTGTTTTTCTAGAAAATTTCTATCTTTTTTTTTGTTCTTGTCAGTTATGAACCAGTTCATGCAAAAATTGTTCGAAATTTTCAAAAACAAGATGTTACTCGTGAAGATCCACAAGCATATGCAAAACGTTATGGTTCACAATTGTATGATTCTAACCTTGTCATACAACAAGCACGTGCCGCTGGTATTCTTGAAGATCTCGTAAGAAACATTTTCTTCTACATTTAATCATAAGATATCTTCATTCATTGGAATTATGTAGAACCCAACTGGCTCATCTGTTTCAATGATGTCAGATAGTGGCCATACAACTACCACAGACTATCAAATGCCAACAACAATATCAGTAGATGAACATCAACAACAACAAAATATTATTGAGAATAATGAAAAAACCGAAGAAAATAATGAACACACAGGAGAACTACGTGATGTAGAACCAAAGATTGAAGCACCATCACTATCAACTGTTCATATTGATGAACACGATCAAGACGAAGATATCTTGGTTGAAGAAAACGTTACACCATTCTATATGAATTCAGGTACGTTAATTACTTTCACTAATATTTCACTTCTAAATGATATTATCTTTTAGGCGAAGATCTACAACAAACACTTCATCGTTTAGGTATTGATTATGTCACAAAATCGAACACGTGAAAATAATTTTTGAGATTGATACTTCAAAATTCGAACATTTTTGACTATTTAATTAATCTCGTTTTTTTCCTTCTTTTGTACATATATTTTGAATTAGGTTTCATTTAAGCTCGTCTGTTCTTTTTTTCTACATATATCTTTATTAAAAAAAAACAGAACAATAAAATCGTTACAAAATTAATAAATAATTTTTAACCTGTTAGAAACTGACAACACATCATTAAATCTAAAAAATCAAGAGAACATGATTTATTCAAAAACATTATTGTAATTCCTAATTATATGGTTTATGAATTCTTTGCTACTCGTGTACTAATAGAGACAATCGTATATGAAGTAAAACAATAAAATAAATCGATAGGTTTATATATGTCTTCATTCTATTGATTGCATCTTTATTTTAAATTAAAATAAACACATTCAAAATGTATCTATCTAGAAATCTTATATATGTAATAGTAGATTTTATTCCTTTGTTTCCATTTTTGTGAATATCAAGGGTTAGTGTCGATAAAACATGCATAATTGGATCAAGTCTGATGCTTCATATTTCTATAAATAATAAAATTTATAGTTCGAAATGAAAATTGATCCTGATGGTACGAATATATGAAATTGATTGATTAACTCACAATAGAATTATACATAGATCATCGATTTCACCATTATATTTGTGCCGATATTGATGGCACGCTTCGATGATTCTCCTTCCTTCTCTTTCTGTTCTCTTTCCATTGTTCTAATGTATCTCTCTCCTATATATACGTGCGTTATGTATGAAGTTGGTACACTCTGGAGATGTCAGATGACACAATACACCATCATGCCGACGGGCATACGCGACACTCTAGTTTTGTCGTTACACTTTGGATAACTTGAAGTAGCCTAATAAACATCTTTGCCGAGAGTGGCACAAGCTACTCTAATCAAGTTGTTCGTTACAATATTCGCATTAAGTGACCGGAAAAAAATGAATAATATGATTATTCGTATTAAAAAAATTTTTGGTTTATCTGCTTTCAGAATTGATTGAGTTATCAAACACCCGAAAATAAAACTAATCTTTTAGTATATGTGCTATTATGTCTGTAAAAACCGTATAGCTATCTTATATTAGCCTGTGCAGATTTTAAATTTATATTAAAAAGTTCATCGACTTCAAAATTTTCATATCCAATTATGCTCTATTAAATCGAATAAGTAGTTTCTATTTTATTTAGACGAGAAAATCATTATCTGAACAAGAATTGTTCTAGTACATCTATTATTTTCTGAAGTAATTAACGAAAACGGTATACTTAAAAATCACGTTGGGGAAGTTAGCACAAGATTAGAGCTTTACCAACCCGGATTCGCTTATATGGTTGTGTTGAATTTCATTTTCGTTGTGTTGGATGCAGAATTTTGTGCTGAATCGAATGTTGTAATTTTAGAAGGGGGTTACCGATCAAAATCTGGCACTTTATCCGAAAATCTTTTAGAAGTAATTCCAGCCCGGATTCGCTGCTTTAGCTGTGTTGGTTCTGGAAATGGTTGTGTTGAATTCAGNGCTAACGCAGCGAATCCGGGCTGGAATTACTTCTACAAGATTTTCAGAAAAAGCAGTATTTCCAGGTAAAGTGCCAGATTTTGATCGGCAACTCCCTTTAAAAATTACACCATTCGATTCAGCGCAAAATTCTGCATCCAACACAATGAAAATGAAATTCAACACAACCATATAGGCGAATCCGGGCTGGAAAAACTCGAATCTTGTGCTAACTTCCCTAACGTTAAAAATCAGACATTTCTAAAAGCTCTCATTAAAATTGTTCTGATTCTTTTACGCAAATTGATTGTATACACTGAATATTTTTGTTTATTAATGAATATTAGGTCATCAAACTTCATAATATAATTTCAAAACGATGATATATCAAGCATTATCTTATAGAATAAATTTTATAATATCTCAAATATAGTAATCTATTCTACATTTCTTGATTTGTGGATTAATCATTCGAAAGACTAATTTTCAATAGTCTCAAATATATATATATATATATATAAGTTGAAAATTATTCAAGATCTTGATTCTTCAAAGAATGGCATCGTATTTGTATTGCTCTTTAATCTAGGTATAACCAAGCTGAAGTATTTGGTTGTTCAAAAGCAACTGCTTTTCGATAGTACTCAAAATAAAAATTATTGATTCGTATTAACGAGATCTTAGCACTCGTTTTTATTAAACTCTCTATTCAATTCTAATAAATAGTTTAAATGTCGATGATAGACTAAGAGAGAGAGAGTGAAATATTAAAAAAAAAATGTATGCTGCGACTTTGCGAACTAATCAAAGGTAAAATTCGAAAAAAAAGAATCGTGACTAACTGTATCGTCGTCAACGTCTATTTTCATAAACTAACAAATTTATTATTCGATGTACGATCCTACAAATTGAATGAAACAGCTGAATCCTAGATATATTTTCATTACTTTGAAAAAAAGAAGTTTAAACTTCTTCAGTAACCGTAGCATTCATTTTCAAAGGAACCATTTGAAAAATTGCTGGTATCGGATAATTTAATGAGGAGGGAAAACACGAATAACTGCCAATATTACATCATTTTTCATGTCAACACTTACATCTTTATGCTTTATATTCTATAGTATTTCTATACTAAAATAAGCACAAAGAAATTTTTATAGATATATACTTACAGATTCTTAAAGTTGTCATGCATTATGTGTAACTGGAACTACACTGTAAAGTAGAAAATAAGTTATAGAGTTTAATCAAGGATATTCTAGGAATGCCTATATGAATTTAACCAGGCTTTTTCAAGTCTATGAAAATCAATACCGATTTTCAACGAATGGTGTTTTGCTGGTGAATAAATTTGAATTTCTACTTTTGCGAAAATCAAGCATTTCATAGAAATCCGAAAATCAACTAGCGAATCATGAATTTTAAAAATTAGGTGACCATACTTAAAGTCGATTCTGGCATTCCTGGAATTTCAATAAAAATTACAGTGTAGTGGTGAAATTCACTTGTTTTATTGTGAAGCTATGGGTAAGGCGTATTTCGATCGTTCTTGTTTTCGTTCTACATATATAGTTACATCTATATTTCTTTACATAAAATCACGCACTCATTGCGTGACGCATTAAAATAAAATAAACAAAAATAATAAATAAATAAATATTTGTCTATTTATTTATTTTTATTTTATTTTTCTTATAACTTTGAATATTAAGTCGACGAAAATCAATTCTTATCCAAATTACATTATGAACAATTGTATATATCCACGAAATGATCAGTCCAGTAATAATACGAAGAAAAACCGAATTTATGATGAACCACCATCAAGCTAAAACTCAGAAGAATGGTTCCGATAGTAGGACTCTATTGGATTCGTGTGGGGATCTTATCGGATATAGTATAGATTTCATTAAACTGACAAAATCCTATCGGTATCCGTGTGTGGAACTGACAATCGGAACCCTAGTATTGGAATCCTATAGGTTCCAGTGTCGCAATTTACCGGAATCCAACATAAGCATTCGACCCATGTGTTCTGTTGACACCATATGCTTATTCATTGGTGATTAATAAAAAAAAAATTTTCAGTCGGATTCGTTAATAGATCCGTGACCAAGAATTTGATTGGATTTGTCGACTTGTCGGGTCCCATGAGATCCGATAGGATTCACTATCGGATTCATTTATCTGGGTCTTCACAAAAATCTTCGAAATCAATTCTTAAATCAACATTCTTGATAATCAAGCTGAGCTGAGGTGGAATAGAAGGAGAAGTCAGAAACGTATCGACTAAGTCTTCAGATACCTGTTTTGTCGTAAGACCACATCCTTATACGGACTCCCCATTGGTTGAATTCGATAACGAAGACGAAAATATCCCGGAAGTAACCCTTAAAGAATTAATTGAAACCGTTCATGCCAAGCGACAGAAAAAAATTTCTTAACCCCCATGGAATCTCAAACTCCATGTTCAAATTTTTAGCATCCTCTAATTGGTCTCTTCTCTTACAACTCTACAACCATTCGTTTCAAAAAACCTACACTACCGGTTGCCTGGAAAGACACGCGCATGATTCTTTTAGCTAAAAAGAAATCTATTTGCTACCCTGCTGAATCCCGTCCTATGTCTGTTTTGGATGTGTTCAAAAAAGTAGGAGAGAAACTTTCCTCACGCGCTTTCAAGATGTGTTAGACAGAAGAGGTATTCTTTCTGAGTCTCAGTTAGACTTTAGAGATAAGTTCAGACTACAAGGGCTTTTAATATTGACTCTAGAGGACGTGCTTAGCTTAATGTCGAATAGTGCACCGGTTAGTACAATTTTCATAGATTTCAGGTCAGCGTTCGGCCAGCTTTGGCTCATAGGTTGTATAGGAAAACTAGGCAGATTAGGCATTCCACACTCCTACCTATCTTGGATAGAAGCTTGGCTAATAAATAGACGAGGATACATCGAAATCAATGGTAAAAAGTCGCGGTGGTTTTCAATCGAAAAAGGAGGTCTACAATGTGGTATTCTAAGACCATCCTTGTTTATTACATACCACAGTGATATGGGACAATTCCTACCCTGGTGTACGAGTCACTTTTTTGCCGACGACCTCGTGCCGATCGTTGCTGGACAGTTATGAATAAGCTACACGGATCAATGTCTGAACTTAGAAAAAAGAACTAAATTGTTTCTTGATCAGCTCGAATATTATTCTCCTCTAGCTGTTCAACCGATTAATTTCACTAGAACAGTGGCATTATATAGTGCACGTGCTATTGGTTCACCGAAATTCGACATTTTCTTTGATAAGAAGAAAGAAAAAATAAATAAATTGGATTAGTGAGTTTAAATACTTGGGATACCGAATTATTCCCAAACTAGACTGAAGCAACATGTTAAAAAAACGGTGATTAAAATTTGACAACGTATCTCACTGCTTAAATCATTTAAGCTGTCAGGTTGTGCATCCCCACAACTAAGAC